TCCTTGCTGCATCATTGGCCAAATATCTTACTCCACAGAGGTATATTTAGAAAGTATTAATTTGTTTAAGGTGTCAAATCAGGTCAGTGTCTAAAACATACAGTATATATATATATATATATATATATATACACAAATATCTGACTTTTATGTAGAATTGGCAATAGAAAAGTCATCACTGACAGAAAGCCATCAGAATTGAAAAGTTTTCTACAAGGACACAGTACAGAGGACACAGAAAACATAGAACCACATGCCAGGACTGCATGTACAAGTCGACTAAAACTGCACCTGACAGCACCTAAAATGTGGAAAAAATTGAAATCCAATCTGGATTAGCTTGGTATATTTTGTATAAAAAAATTAAAAGTGAAAGTATTGAGTCAGAATGTTTGAATGCAATTGCAAATAGTATTACCTTTGGTGAAAGTCAAAGTACTGTGAGCTTAATTCAAAATCTGAATGCATCTGATGACCATGCAACTGAACTTATTTCTCTTGTATGCAAAATATACCTTAAGAGAATGAGAATGCTAAGCTAAGGCCACCCATGTCTGTCCTGTGCTCTTCATCAGGTATTCTTCACATGGGCAATGGAGAAAATGTCTTCATCTCCCAGCAGCCACCTGTAATCGGCAGCGTGATGGGAAACGGGCGCAGGCGCAGCATCTCCTGCCCCAGCTGTAATGGCCTTGCTGATGGAAACAAACTCCTGGCCCCCGTGGCTCTGGCTTGCGGCTCGGATGGAAGCCTGTACGTGGGCGACTTCAACTATGTGAGGAGGATTTTCACCACAGGAAACGTCACCAGTGTCCTGGAGCTTAGGTAACTGAGGAGCAGCCTACTAACACCCACTCAGGACTATGAGCAGCTCAAATGGTCTTACACACTAGCTATAAACTACAGAGTGCAATTGAGATAGACATAAATGCCCTAAAGGCAGAGGATTGATGGTCTACCTCTTTTATTCACCTGCATCAGCTGGAGTACGCTCTTCATAGGACCTAAAAAGGATGTATTGAGACTTTAACAGAAGGTGTCCTTGAAACAGTCTAATATGTTCACAAAGAGGTTTTTGAAGATAAAAATTGTTACAATCAATCTTTTCTTCTGCTTAATTCCACTAACTTCTATTAAATTCTTCCACTAACAGCTCACCTTTTGCTCTCTTTTCTTTTCCTCTCTAATTCTTCCTGCTTTCCATTAACGTTCAAAGAAATAAAGACTTCAGGCACAGGTAAGCCTCATATATAAATGTACCGTTTCCCTGCTTATTTGTTTCCATCTGAATAGTTTGTTTTTGTTGATGTGAACATTTAAGGGCAAACTAAGTCTGGATGCAGTTAAACATGCTTCATGTTCTACATTTCCATTTTTAACATAGCTGCTGGTTTAATCTTGTAGTCATATATATCAAATATGGGTCTAAAATTTATGTTATCCCTACAGTATATCTTCTTAATATAGCAATGCAACTCCAATTTAATGGTGCACATGTTGCAAATGTACAAACATAGGTAGAAATAAACAGATCATTTTAAGTCTTGAAGGATTTTAAACAGTTATTGAAAAAAAAACGGAATCCTCTGAATACTTATTTCCATAAATAATGAAAGCAATCGGATCTTTACCAGGTGCTCCCATTATTCAAATTTAATTGTCTAATTTTCCACCTTAAGCTCAAGTAGCTCCAGAGAAATTGTGACTAGTTTTATTAAAGCAATTTTGACAGCGATGGTTTTAGGCATGCATGTGTGGATTAAAGCAGTGCCCAGAGAAGAGGCAAATCAAACAATAATTTGTATATCTATGGTAAAAAAAAAAATATTCTCAAATAAAAGACATTTACGGCAGCAGAAAACAAAAGAAAAAAAAGACTCAGATCTGACCCATTTAGTAAATCACCATTTTAGACTTAGAATGCTGACATTCAAATTGAGGAGAGTAAAATTTTAAAAACTTTAATAGTATGCTTGAGAAGTAGAAAAACAACAGAAAATCCGAATGGGTCAAAAGCCTAATGGAAGAAGGTCATTTGGCAAATAAGACAACTTTGTTGTGTTAATGTCATCATTTCATTATGCAGAAAAAAACAAAGCAAAGAACGATCTTGTTTGCCTACAACCAAACACAGCAAATAGGAACAAACAGCTTCGACACAATTTCAGGCAGAGCAGTGGTGGTTGCAATGCTTATGGTTTTTCATTTATTGCATGACTTATTGTGTGGTTCCAGCAGGTTATTAGTAACATTTTAACAGCATGCTGCGTTACCTACAGTAATGTAACTGTTTTAATGAAAAAAATGGGAAATTAGATCTTTAAAGAAATGAGGAACCTTACTATGCAGGGATATCTATATTGAAAATTACAGTTATTTTGGTAAGTCTTATCATCATCATTGTCATAATCATCTTCATCATCATCATGGAACTAAAGACCACAAAATAAACCGTAAACTAAGCACACAGAGGAAAAGAAAAACTGCACATGATGACTTCTGTTGAATTGTGGGGTGTGTCGAGTTTTTCACATGCAGTTTTTTTCCCCATTTTAGCTTCATCTTAATTTGATTGATTACAGTGTGGGATCAGTGTTTGGCAACAGTGTTTTTATTCTAGACACCAGGCTAAATCCGAAATATGAATATCTGGTGAAAACCAGATGATATCTTACTTATAAAACTATGGAAATAAATTGACTCTAATTAAATGAGATGATTAAAGATGAATAGTTTCTAAGTTCTGAAATAAAAAAGCTTCATTTTAATTCTGGCAGTAGAAATTTGGGGAATCTCAGTCTTCCTTCTTCAGGTGGCGTTTCTTAGCAGTGGTCTTAGTAAAGAACATATTGTTGCCCATTCATTTGTTTGTTTATCTGTTTGTTTATTGTGGATCCCAATTAGTTGCAGCTTAATACAGTTGCTATTCTTTCAGGGAGCAAAAAAAGAATTAAAGAAAATGAATTACAGTGTAAATTGCATAGAAATAAAAAATGATAATTTTCTATTGTTAAATAAGAAACCTTTTATGTCTTACAGGCATTGTTTTCCATATTTTGTAAACTAATGGTGAGATAATAAGATAATTATTTAGATAAATAGCTATATCTTTAAGTTGGGGTATAGATTTTTAATCTTATTCTAAAAAAAGGTACAATTAAAATTCTTTTTCAACAAATTCTTTTATACAATTCCACTTTCTCTTTTGATCATTTTCACCAGCATTTACTTTATTCTCTTTATATGTTATTTGTTCATTTATATTTCATCTTGTGATGAACTTTTCACATTTACTATATAATTTCCGATAACTCCTAATTTCATGTATTCTTTAATCTCCCTGTCTAACCATGGCATGGTAGTGTTTCTGATCATAAACATCTGTACCAGGGCCATTGTTCACCACAGACAATATTAGAAAAGGCCCCAAAAACATAGTGAGGATTAATTTTAGTAAGAATTGAAGACTGACACTTATTTAAAACATTTTTAATGAATCTTGATTAAACCTCTCATATAATCTTTGCTCTTGATTTCACAACTTTTCCATTCCTAACAGTAATAACTAAATAATGATCACTGCACGGATAGTAAATACACTTGAGCTTAGCTCAGGTTTTTTTGTAAAAACATGATCAATGCAGATTGCCTTGAGGAACCTGTGTTTTTTCAGCATGTTCTTGTAGGTTTATTGACTAATTGAGTAAAGTTATAGGCAGTAGAGATAGCTAACCACTCCTTTATTAAAGAACAATTCTGTTCTAGTCAATCTATATTCAAATCAACATTTAATATGTATTAAAGCCCATTGTATGATTGCAGTCTAACACTTCATGGATACAGCCTAGATAAGAACTACTTACACCAGGTGGTTTATAAAAGCAACAGATTAATACTTGCTCTAACTGTGTTGATATTGCAACAAAAATATTACAAATTTCATTTTTTATTAGATATGGTATATGGTATATAATCTAACAGGCCACTCCACCGGCAAATGTATTCCTGTTTCTCATCTATATATATTTATCTTTAGTGCTATTACAAAGCAGAATATCTGAAATGTCATTTAATTTGTTCCTTATACTATCAATATTATTCTGTAATACTCTTAATCCTTTCTTTGGCAGTGTAAAGCCTAGTTTGCTTAACATCAAACAGCTGTCCCTAGACCTGCACAGTATCTCTGTGCCAACCTTAAAAGATGCTTCTTAATCATAACATTAATTTCTCTGGTTTTGTTGAGAGAAATAAGTTACAAATGGAGACCATAACGGTTTGAAAACCTGCAGGAAGTAAACGAACAAGAAAAACAACAAAGCACAGTATTTTTGGAACAATGACCTTTGGGAGGATGAGACCAAACAAGAGACATTTCCTCTTGTTTGCTAAAAACCAGACACTATATATATTGGTACTAACACCTCTTACCAGTTGTTGAGCCTGGAGGTGGTGGTGGGATGATAATATTAGATTCTTTGCAGCTCTTGGGCTGGTGAATTTTGCTGCCATTGGGCTTTTTGCACACAGCCTAATTGTTTATAGTCAAATGAGGGTATCTGTCCACCAGCTGGCGATCATCCACAATTGATTCCTGCAAACCGTGGAGCAGCTTTGTAATGCATGTTACAAAATAAAAAATAAAAATTCCCCCACAGCCATGTGACATACTAAATAAACAGAAGCAATAATTTCAACTTTCTTTTAACCCAAAAGAACAGTTTGGGATCTGCAGGGTGTCTTTTTTTGAAAATATTTTCTCATACCTTGAGGCATACTTTGATTTTGCTCTTCCTGCAGATCCCTCTAATAGAATAACTATTGGTACAGATTTTATCAGTTGCTTAAGATACAGAGAACTCATTTTTCAGGCAGGAGGCAACAAGGGAAATCTCAGTGTGACCTCTTCAGAAGCTGTGTCTGAGGTGAAGGGCTATTGATTGGTTTTCTGTCTAAAGAGCCTCATCTTAGACTATGAGACGCATCGATGAAGGGAGGATGAAAAGCTATGTAACGCTGGTCACCTACTCTTCTTTTAAAGAATAATCACATTAAGAAACCATTGTATTACCTCTCCTGTTTTTTGTCACTTTATTTCTCAAGTTCTTTCTTGCATGGCAATGTTATCTTTCTTTTCCCCATTACCTTATACATCATACATGAGATCTGTCTGCAAGAGTGCCGCTAAAGAGACATCAAACCCTAGTCCCTTTATGTACCAGCATATGCATATTAAAGAGGAAATTTACCAAGGAAAAGCACAGCAATTGTCGATGTGAAACGGGTAAATGCCTCCTGTTCTTGTGTTAGCTGACGATAGGAGTGGGAGGTGGGTGATCTAACGGCAATGTTCATTGACCCCCTGCTAAGGATGCCCCATCCTCTCTGACCAATTCCGCGACAGCATGCAGCAAAATCCAATTATCTTCTACAAACTCGATGTTGTCAGTGAATATAGATGGCCTATATGTCCACAGCTCAAGGTCAGCAGTAATGCCTAGAAGTTTCAAACACACGGTGGGGGACAGCATTTTTTTTTTACATGCAACTAGGAGCTGATAAGGTATCTGCTGATTGCATATGGAAGGTAGACCACAAATCTGAAAGCACACGTTGTGATTTTCTACTGACCTAGATCACTGCGACAAAACATTGTACAGGTGCATTTTAAGAAACTAGAATATTATTAAAAACTTGGCCACATAATCAGGGGAAAGACAGCAGAAGGTCCTGGACAGCTATTATAAATGGTTAACCTTGGAAAAATTAATTGCTTAAGAAGCTAAAAGTTAAAAGAGTATTCAGTCAAAGTTAATTTAATGAAAGGTTAGTGAGGTACATTCTGCAAGTTTTATCTTGATAATCTTTAGTATTTGTGACAATAACCTAAAAATTATTATGTGAAGTATTATAGTAATTTATTGCTCATATTGACATACATTACTGCCCTAAAATAAAAGGTATCCATTGATAGTTAGGTTGCTTCTGTATACCAGCTTATATATTAAGGAGTTGTACATTTAAGCACACAATATTTTCATGATTGATGCTATATTGAACCAACAGCAGAGAAAAAGAAAGAAAGGATTACAAACATAATAAATTAGTTTATAAAAGACAAGCAACTCAATAATTGCCCAACCCTGCCCTTGTACAGAGGCCAAGACTTCAGAAGGTTAATGACTAAAACGCTGACTTTTCACATAATTTAACCAAGAATAGAAAATGGATAGTAGACTAAAAAGGTGCACCACCCAAAGAAATAAGTAGGACAGAATATATATAAAATGTTTAATCATGTTTTACGGTGTTTAATGTGATAACTTGAAATGAATGATTAAAAAGTACAGAAATAAATATGTCCTTTTATGCAATGCATCTAACAGAGTAAAAGCCTTAAAATGTTTTTTAAAACATCAATCAAATCCAATATATGATGTTTTTGTGCATCTCTAATGTAACAGAGATTAACTTTAATGATAGTAGTGGTAATGGTGTTATATTTAAAATTCACTCTAACCTTTTTTTTTTTGTTCAGCAAAACAGTTTTGAGGCAAAGTTAAAAAAAATTACAACATATCAAATATATGCAAACTTTAAAAAATCTATTATTGTTGGCCTATTTTTATATAAGGTATTAAAAAAAACATTCATATTTTACAAAAGGACAAGGAATTTTTTTATCATGTAGCTGTTACCTTGCAGGAAAGATGAACACTCGTGAGATCTGTGATTTCACAAACCAAAAGATGCATTAGCTGCGATACAGATATGTTTCGAACTAATGAAATGCAGCGTAGCGTATGACATCAAACAAAACAAAGGCTGTGCTGGTTTTAGCTGGAATACACTCCATTTCTTTTTTGCAATACCCTCTATTTTTTTCTAAAAATTAGCAAAGGGAAGCTATTTGTGCCTTTGTGGATTTGAAGCATGCTTGCACGTTTCTCCGGACCTGATTTGATAAGAGTGATTTCTCAGTTTTAACACCAGTAGTTGTGAAACAAAGAATGCAGGCTCAGACTGGGACAATTTTCAGCCCTGGCATTTTTCTATCTTCATGCTACTGCTGCTATGATTGACTAAAACCTGGACATGCGAGGCAGATGATACTCAATCTGGCATACACCTGGTTAATATTTCCCACCCCTATCTGGTGATTTCCTCATTTTCAGAGAAACTGGTTGGGTTTTACTTAGCTTTGAGATATAATTACCTCAGAAATAGAAAATAGATATGCAAAAAAAAAAATCCTTATTTTTGTATTAAATCTGTTTCAGTTTTTTTTTTAATTAGACATCTGAAGTCAATGAACCTATCAATGATTTTCTTATCAATTGTTATCCACCTACTGTATATCAGAGTTGTATTGTAAACCTACCAATGAGTTAGTTGGGTCACTGGCCGAGTTTTGACATATCCGCCTGAGGTTTTCTGTCATCACTGATACACTGAAGGTCAATTGTCATTTAATATTATGTAGCCAAGACGACAATTGCTCAGACCCGCTTGCTTTCCCTCTTGTATTTTAGAAACATAGGCTGGTGATGCTGTCATTCTGCCCCAAAAGAACCCTCAAGGTTGAACCTGAAATACTGTCTTAATCCACTTTGAATGATGCCATGATGACAGGCCTCTTCACAAAGCTTATCTGCTCTGGCAGAATTGTGTCATACATTGACATTGATAACTGTGGACGTACTTAATGTTGCAGCAACCGTTGCCTTACCGAAGTAAATGTAAAAAAAACATTTTATAAAGCTATAATCAATATTCCTACAGGCAAATGTTTTTAGTTTACAGTAATTGAGGTATTCCTAAAAAAGAAAAAGAAAAACTTACAGCAGAACGCATTTTTGCAACACATTCCATTTGCTCTTGTCTACAAAAACATTTTAATTTCAGGAGATGTGTACATGATAAAAAAAACCGACATTAAGAAGTACTTTAAGTGCTGCCAAATTTAGTGGTTTAGTGTTATTGTATGTTGAAAAATATTTATTTACAGTTTAAGTGCACTGAAATTTAACTTTTTGATTACATCCTTGTGTGTAAAAAGACATTAGCAATATTAAAAATAGACCCTTTTCCTAGTAGCCGTTGGCCAAAAGGCTGAATAAGAATTTTTTAAGAAAGAGTTTTTTTCTGACATTGAGAACGAGATGACAAAGGAGTTAAGACTAAGGTTTAGGCTTTTTTTTTTAACTACAGACATTTTTAGTCCAATTATTTTTCTTGCAATATTAAACTAAAGTTTTTGGAACCGTTGTAAAATGCAACATAAGGGAACTTTTTGAACAAAAAATCTGTTGAAACAAATGATAAATTTGTGGAGACAACATGCCCTTTGTCACATACAGAAGAGGATGTGGGTCTGTTTGTGTTTCAAGGTGCATCTTTTGAGCACCGGAGAAAGAAAATTGTTTCCTTTTGTCTTTTGAATGGATAATGACGTGTCGTCATGTTTCACCAGACAAAAAAAAAGGGTCACCTTTAATGTTCTCTCCTGAACCTAGACCTTAATCCAATTGAAAACCTGCATGCTGAAGTGAAGATAGTTTTAAAAAGGATAAAGGACTTTGGATGACCTAGAGAAATCTGAATTTATTTCAAGGTTTTTTACACATCTTTATCTGGGGGGGAAATAGATATGGCATGAGAGGAACGTATTATAAGTTAGAAAAATATCCATCGATTTTTCTGCAAACGCTTGCATCTATCATTGAATGCAGAAGATTTAACAATAAAATAGTCCTATCTGTCACTTCATTTGTCCTTGTATGGATTCATAAATAGTTCTGCTTTACCATCTTTTTCTTCGCCATCTATCTTCATTTGAAGAAACCAGCAGATTTTATGTTTCTTGGCTGTCTTTGGCTCTATTGTCTCTATGTCAATTTGGGAAATCTCACCGAGCTATAAAGGATTACTTTGTTGATTTGGCTGGGAATTGTAAAGGATATGTGTCTGTGCAAGGATATCTTCTTTATTGGATCCCTAATGTGTTTGGATTTCTGTTTCAGTATTTTTATTTTATTACTAATAAAAAGGGGGGAAAAAGTAGACATACACAGAATGCATATTTGTAACAGTAACCATGCTGCTGCTCTGTGATGACTGTGTTCCTTTTGTTATTTCCAGTTAATATAACAGGAATGTCCTGTCACTTTGGGGTATTAATTAGTATTTCTTTCAATGAAACCGCTGATCCTAGAAGACTGAAACCCATTCAGACATTTCTTGTCTCTATGTTCTAAATTATGCTTAAAATGTGTAATTGTTCCATTTGAAAAAAAAAGTCAAATTTTTTTTTTTTTCTTCTGTTCGGAGAGTGTTTGGACATTTTTTATTAAGTAACATTTCTGTTGCCCAATTTGCAAACAGGGTTTCTAACTACAACATTTATAATGTAAATTAATTTACTATTCACCATTATACCATCCTTAATTTTATTTCACATTGTCATGTTTAATCCTATTGTTTTTTACCCTTTTCATGTCATTATAAAGCGTTATGGTGCCCAGTCTAATCTGTAAATAGCTTTATAATCCATTTTAATTGTTTTACACAATATTTTCTATTGAAAGCCATGTTGTTGGTTTAAGCTATATTAAGTCATCTCTTCTTCTTCCTTTCCTTTCCTCAGCAACAGCCCTGCTCAGAAGTACTACCTGGCCTCCAGTCCTGTGAATGGCGCAGTGTACCTGTCTGATACAGGCAGCAGGAAGGTGTTCAGGGTCAAATCTTTGACTGTTGTTAATAACGTTGCTAAGAACCTGGAGCTGGTTGCTGGCACCGGTGACCAGTGTCTGCCATATGATGATGCTCGCTGTGGGGATGGAGGAAAAGCTATTGAAGCCACTCTCACCAATCCTAGAGGTAACTGTTGGCTGTTTTCCTTCCTTCCTTCCTTACTTCCTTCCTTCCTTCCTTGTGTCATCAAATATTACATTAAAAGCAGTATTGAAACAGATTTTGAATCATTTTTTTATCTAAAAATGTCATATTCTATAGGATAACTTGGATAAACTAGACAAAATAGATATACTCATATATTCTATGATGTTGATCATCACATCAATTACTCTACTGTATGTAACCTCTCCTTTTTGGCTGATTGACTCTGCTCTGCTACATGTTAAGTTATTATTTAATCAATACATAAATTAATCATCATCTTTTCACGGGGTTCTGTTGTTCTCCATTACTGATCACAAAATCAATCCCTCCATCACTTTTCATTGCTGTAATTAGCATTCTACATTATTACAGCTGATAGTCCTTAATTGTCATGTAGTAGTGCTCTATCTTCACATTAGGTGCAGATAAGAAAGATGAGGCAGATGGATATGTTCTCCTGTTCTTACTCTATGGCCGTCATCTGCAGGTATTACAGTGGATAAGTATGGGGTAATCTTCTTTGTGGATGGAACCATGATTCGTAGGATTGATCAGAATGGTATCATCTCTACTCTTCTGGGTTACAATGACTTAACCTCCGCTCGACCTCTCAGCTGCGATGCTGTTATGGACATCTCTCAGGTATGTCCTCTCTCTTTATTGTGCTTTCTGCTGGGTTTTAAATTAACATCCTGCTGATATTGAAATTAGTATAAACAGACACACAGGCACTGTCAGCTTTGTATGTAAAAAATATAGATTGCATTCAATTCATCTGAGTTGCTGTATTGTCTTCAATCAAAATGTTTAATCTGAAGAAATGATCTGAATTATTCACCATTGAAGGAGGGTGGTGGGGAGGTTTATTCAAAGACAGTTTAGACTAACCTTGCAGTAGCTAGATTGATGTGTGTAGAACTGAGTTGAGTTCTATGTTACAAATTTGGGATGGCTGCCATTCAGTCTGTTTGTGAAAAGGAGGGACGTGTAGTACAATACTTCGAGCTGATTGGTTGACATGCAAGCTAGTACACATCTTCCAAAATACGCTTTCAGCCAATCGTAGCTGCGAATTGTGACGTTTCGTAAGCTGATAAATGTAACTTTTTCCAAATCCTGTCGGAAGAAATGCACAGACATCTATCCCATCTACAAGTTCTTCTCTTTGCTCCTTCTTAAATGAGAAATTGTTGCCATTTTAGCTAAAACCAAGTAAATTGCTGCATCGACAGGTGAGTCCTCCAGTGTAGCCATGTTTGTAATGCCCCGGCAAGGCCCTTCTGACTGTCCTTATTCCTACAAGCTGCCTTAAAAAACACTTCTGGCATGTTATTGGTCCGACCCGCTGGTTGTTACGAGATGACTTAAGACGTATGACTTAAGACGTATTAGCGGGAGTCTTTCAAGATAGATTTCTTGTAAGACTGAAAACTCAGATCTCGCGACAATCCAGCTTGCAGTGCAAGGTTAAGTTTAGACAGGAGTTATGAAAACTATCTGCGAATAAATTACCTAATTACCTTTTCTGTGACCTCAATAGTAATCCTGCAGTAATCTAAACAACAAATTAAACTTTTTAGATTAAGTTAAATGGACCAAAGAGAAACAACAGACATTAAATTATGTCTGCAGCATTTTTAAAGGGTAGCTATAGAATATAATGAAAGTTAAATAAAAATAGATGATTATTTTACTCAAATGGAACCAAATTGTGGTAGTTCAGTTAATCAGAGAACACAAACACCCAAACCACAGGGAGCACTGTGCTCCTGGTTCTACTCTGCTACCTACACTTCTAAAAGGATTGCATGCATTGGCTGTTGTTGCATATTGTTGACTATAGCTAGCAAACAGGAGCTGTGGGGTGTCAGATGAAAGTGGAAAGAAGCTTTTACTGTTTATAGGATTTTATGCACTCAGTGCAGGAAGCTCAGCCTCCAGCTGTCCATTTCCAGACCACTACCCTGGGGGAGAATTCTATCCCTCCCACCACTTGTGCCTTACCTATCCCTGCTTCCTTACCTTTTCCACTTACATTCACCTATAGAATCTCACCATTGCTGCTGCGGGGACACATGCAGGCTGGGTGCAGCTCGACAATGATGACAAATCACACAAGCACTGCCGGAGACACTCAGACAGTAAAAAGCATCCATTAAAAATTCATCCAGAGCTCACAGGCTCCTACTTCAAACACTCCCTGAACCCTTGCTTAGAAGTGGTTTCTCTGGAGAAGGCTCGTGGCAGTGGTCATTATTTTTGTTGTGTACCACACCTGATTTAGCCAAGAAATACTGTCAAATTTCGTGCCTCTCTGATGAGTTTATTGTTACTTCTCTGAAGCATCTCTCCTCTGAGGAAACTGCAGGAAACTCTTTCTTATTTAATCTCTAAAATCTTTTTTCCTTGTCCTGAACTTTTTAACTTTATTGCAAAACAACAAGCTTTGTAACTTTTTTTGAATCTTTCTTTTTTTGTTTACAACATTCACACAGGTTTTTAGTGATTTTCAATTCAAAAGCACCACATATTTAAATTATTCTAGGATTTTCACAGTTTGTAATAAACCAACCCATAAAAATGAAATTGTAATAGAACTGAGAGATCTACACATTTCAGCTACACATGTTGCCCTTTCTGGCCATTTTGGTCTGGTAATTGAAATAAATATCCTGGAATCATTTGGAAAAAAAAACAGCACAAAAGTTGGTGCGAAACACAGCATAAATCATAACACTGCTACAATATTCTCCAAGGTTTTTTCACCATCACCCAGTCTGGCAACAGCTTTTTGTCCCAAGTGTAGAAAAACTGAACACCTGTTGAGAACAAACAAAGCTTCAGGTTCACCATGACGTGTATAAAAAAGAAACACTTTATATCTTTAATAACAAGTTAAAAAGAACAAGGAAGTTATATTTTTCTTATACAATGGATAAAATTTGTTACAATATATTCATTTTATTTACTGTTATTGTCACGGTAACAATGTCTAAACCTTTATCAAACAAGCCTTTACAGATTTTTTAAAGGCATATTTCGGAGAAAGAGACAAGACATGACTTTTCTGATTACCTGGTGATCATAGCAGCATCTAGATAAATTGAACAGACTAACAGACAACCAGACCCTTGGAAGGCTCTAAAAACCTTAGTGATGAAACCTCAGAAACCACATTTTGACACATCAACAATATGTAATTGAATCCAATGTCCAAAGTCATATTTCAGACAAAAATCATAAAAAGAGCTATTTATGATCAAACATACACTTTCATGATAAAAAATTGTCTTCAGGCTTTAGACTACACTACAGCACAGAAGCTGCAATGAAACAAACTGTAATATTACTGTACGGTAAAAAAAAACATGAATGAAGCAGTTGGAGCACATCCAATAGAGTGCTGCTCTTTTCTAACCAACGGCAGAATAAAAAACAAGAAAAAAAAACGATAATTTCATACCTCTTCTTAAATCACTAAACTGGCTCCCTCTATAACAAATAATAGATTTTCTAAATTCCTTTAAAGTACAACATGGCTTTGGGTCCAAATATGTTTCTGACTAGTTTCTCAGGTTATGACGAATGCAGACCCCAAAGGTCTTCCTAGATCTCTTTACTACTTATTGACAGGGACAAAGTATAGAGTTCACTTTCTGTGACAAAAACCTTTAATCTACAGCATTTTTTAAATCAAAGTATTTAATTATTACAATATTTCTGCATCTTTGCTGTTATATAATCTTTTTTAAATATAGTTTTTTTCTGTCTTTTCTTTGATATTCTATAAAATATTTTAGATCACCTTTGCTATAAATGGTGCAATTTTAATAAACTAGCCTTGCTTTTGCAAGCTCAGAAAAGTTTAGTAGCTTTCTTTAGTTGACTGGTTGAGTGGAACAACAGGAGGTGCAGAAGTAGTGCATGAAAAAAGTTCTAGAAAACTTTGGAATGACTTGATGAAAGACCATACCAGCGTTGAAGCTGTGATTTTTTAAAATATTTTTATACTTTGATGGTTGTAACCACTCTGTGCCGATTCTGTCTTAGCAGCTTTAAAGAGCTTTATAAAGAAACTTTGATACTAATTTTTAAATTGAGAATGTAAAAAAGGGGAAATCTTGTTGTGTTAGCACTAGTCTTGGATTTTCTCCCTCCCCTTATGAGAGTGTTTTGGTTTTTTTCCCCTTTCAGGACGGATGCTGGCAATAGGCCTATCAGGCAGGCAATGCTGACAGCTGCCCCACTGTATAAAGTGCAGGGTATGATCGGGTTACAGCATGTGGGACAGCAGCTCAGGAAATATCCCCTAATCAGTCAGAGTGGCGTGAAAACCTCCTTACAGGCAGGTCCCCTGAGCTACTCCACACTCAGGCTCATAAAATATTTAACCAGCAGTGTTGACAAGAAATAGGTTTTAAGAAATTGAAAGTCTTTCCCCCTTCATTACCCAAGTAAATGCAGTTTTTGCTCCCTGGAAACTGTCATGTATCCTCTGTCAGTCACCTGTTTGTTGTATGCAAACTGTTCTACTGTTTAAAGCTGCACCATTCTTGTGAAAGGCGACAGGAGCTTTATGAGATATGAATCTTTAGTGATGCTTGAATTTATCTTTCTTTCCACTCGGACTCAGTGTCCTGTCAGTTTCAAATAAATTATTCTGCCAGCATCACTTCGCTATAGTGAAACTGAATTACTGTAGGTGCAAAAAGTAGATATGTGCAAAAGGGCTTGTGTTTAATCCTTAAATCTAATTTTGTCTTTTCAAAAATCATAAACCTACACTTGTGAATTTACTGCTTGTTAACATATTCAGACAGTTGGTAAATTACTACTTTATAGCCTAATTGTATCTTTAGTTTTTTTTTTTTGTATTTTGGTCCATGATTTAATCAGTAGCCTTTCCCTGTGCTACAAGGCTCACAGTGAAATATGACACTCTATATAATGTTTCTTAGAGATCCCAGTGGGACAATAAGGAAGAAGCAGGCCAGTAAATGGGATTAAACCAATCTTTTCAATTTGTTAAAAGCCTGACACATTGTCAGTAGAACAATAACTAATAATATAAAAAGCCAAAAGCAGTGCAGGCTTTTCTGTTAAGAGTGTTCCTGACACTTTTCAAAGAGTAGCAATAATGATATGGAGGATAGCAGAATTATTCTGACCCTTTAAATTCTCAAATGTTGTAAAATCATAACTACAAAATGCATTGCATTTTTTTTAGGATTTTCTGTGATGGATTTTGAGCAAAAATGTTTGATGTACCAAAAAAAAAAAACATTATTATGCTGTAGCTCTTGCTGCATGTTTAGGTTGTTATCAAACACTGTTTGTCTTGAATACAACATGCACATGCAAAACAGTTAACACAAACTTCCTTATCCTTGCTAAATCAACAACCTTATAGGATGATTCTGCCACCGCTTTATTTAAATAACAGTGTAGGGACTGTTTTCTGGAGAATCTAATGATATGCAAAGGATAATGCACTCTACTTTGTTGGTTTATCATTAAAATGTTTAGATAAAACATGTTATAGTTGTAAGGTTTCAGAACAGAGGACCCAGAATCCAGGCAAGGCAGACAGTGGAATAACTTCAAACGCTTATTTGAACTTTGGATCCGTTGTTATCAGTGTCTGGAGCATCTATACCAGGAATGTGGTAATGGAGAACTCTCAACATCAAAGGCACAAGAATAATCTGGCACTGTTAGCTTGGACCAAGGAGTTTAAATAGAAGCAGGAGCAGGTGGAAAAAGGGCAGAACTGGACAGGTGAATGAAATGAGCAATCAAGCCAGCCATCAGCACCAAGATCATGACAATAGTTGGATATAAAAAGCACTGTGACTACAGAACTTCAGGGTGTTTGAGTGCTTTTAAAAAGCAGTCAGGTTTAAGAGAAAGCAAAGTATTCAGATGTCTCATTTTTGTATTTCTTCTGTGAAATACTTCTGATCTTTTTTTTTGTAACTAGAAGCTAATTTGTATCTTTTCCCTCTAGGTGCGCCTTGAGTGGCCTACAGACCTGGCAGTAAGCCCCATGGACAACTCCCTGTATGTTCTTGACAACAACGTTGTTCTCCAGGTCTCAGAAAATCATCAGGTCCGTATTGTAGCAGGTCGTCCCATGCACTGCCAAGTTCCTGGCATCGATCACTTTCTTATGAGTAAGGTGGCCATTCATGCAACTCTGGAGTCAGCAAACGCCCTGGCTGTATCCCACAATGGGGTTCTGTACATCGCAGAGTCAGATGAAAAGAAAATAAACCGAGTACGGCAGGTGTCCACCAACGGAGAGATCTCCTTGGTTGCAGGGGCACCAAGTGGCTGCGACTGCAAGAATGACGTCAACTGTGATTGCTACTCTGGAGATGGAGGCTATGCCAAGGATGCTAAGCTGAATGCACCCTCTTCCCTGGCAGTGTGTCCAGATGGAGAGCTTTATATTGCAGATCTTGGAAACATTCGCATCCGCTATGTGCGGAAAAACAAACCCTATCTTAATCCCCTCAGTATGTATGAGGTATCCTCTCCAATTAATGATGAACTCTATCTGTTTGATTCCAACGGTAGCCACATTTTCACACAAAGTCTGACAACAGGAGACCACCTCTACAATCTGACCTACACAGGAACAGGAGATATAAGTGGCATCACTGATAAAAACAAGAACACAGTGACCATCCGACGAGACACTACAGGAATGCCCCTGTGGCTAATGGTCCCTGATGGACAGACCTTTTGGTTCACCATCGGTACCAACAACGCCCTGAAAACTGTTGCTGCACAGGGCCAAGAACTTGCTGTAATGACCTACCATGGGAGCTCAGGACTTCTTGCTTCGAAGACAAATGAAAACGGATGGACAACTTTCTTTGAGTAAGTAATATTAAGAATTATTTCCTGAATAATGTCTGCAGTGCCTCAACGAGTAATAATGAGATGTAGGTCCAAGCCTCTTGACATTCTGTCTATATAACAGTTTCATGGTAAGACTTAAAGCGGATGTCAAGGCTGAAAAATAAGTAAAGATTTTATATGTATGTCATCCTTGTGCTTCAAGCATTTAACAGATATAAAATGGTTTAAACGTTGTTTATCAGAGTTCTTATTATCAGTAATTGATATCTGGAACCAGTATTAGTTGGGGTTACAAGCTTCTTTCAATGTCTTTTTTTTAGGACTCAATAGTTTAGGGATTTTTATTTTGTTTTTTGGAATGCACACAAAAATAAATGTGTGTAGAAGACTCAGAATGACAATTATTTGCACTTTCAGTCTTACTTTAGTTACTAAATAGATGAGATAGTGATTTGCCAAGAGATTTGAGCCTGAGAAGTTGAGTCTAGGTTTAATCTTCATTTTTTCTCTAAAGTATAACTGACAATTACATACTCAAGACCTCATTTATGATGAAAAGTTGTGCATTTGTTTCATGTTTTAGTAAGATACTGATGTTGAGAAACATGTACATAGAAAATATATATTTTTTGTTTTTGGAATAAGAACTGCCCTCTTATGGCTGCATGTCGAGTCTGTGAAAACGCAAAACCTGCGAAAGTATGAGTGTAATCCTATTTGCTGTTATCATACTAAATAGGATTACTGAGTGATATGTTACTCATCTGCTCCTGTCCTCGCAGTGACAGACTGCAGACCCTCCATTGTTGGATACAGAAGGAATAGAGATGCATCTGCTGTGGAGAAAAATTTAACCCTTTGGGATGTGAATGCTCATTAAAACAGTCCAGATAGCCAGAGGTGTACCACACACGGAGTGGGAACAATTGAAAACCAACCCACACTCGTCGACATATGAGCGTAGGATTCTATGTTCTGGTGACTTGTGAGCAGCCTGTCCCTTATCCTAGTGCGGTGTACCAAACAAGGAGACTGTGTTAACAGGATGCCATTCCTAAACATGTGATTAAGCAGCTTTGCTATTCAGACATCTGTCACACCTCGCTAGTTGAATATAACTCTGACACATAATCAGACGCTCGGTTTAACATGCACACATATTTATCACCTGTGTTTGATTCGAATGTCATCTGAGATGCTTAGGAAAAAAAGTGGAACGCAGTAATGCACCCATATATTTTCATTTCTACTGGTAGAAAGAATAACCTTTGTGTATTTTTTGGCCAGAGGTACTTTGTTTTTTTTTCGGCTTGTGTTTTTTTTTTCTTCTGCAAAACAGCCTTAGTCATTATTAGATATTAGTCCTTACCATTACTTATATGTAAGAAACTGCAGGCTAATGGAGCAACAGTTGCACATAAGATATTATTAAAGATGGATTCAGGATAGTAATTTCTTTTAAGTCTGTATATACACAAAGGATAAGTGCAGCACTTGACATTATTTTAATGTAATAACAGCTTAAGTGATGATTTATTCAAAGAAAAAAGTCTTTAGTAAGGTCTCTCTTGGTCTTTCAGGTGTCTTTCTCATGTTTCATGGTTACTCTGTAGGGGAAGTGTTAAGTTTTGAGTGGAAAGGACCCAGTCGAGTAGGTTTTCGTTTAAAAATCCTCTAAAATAAAAATAAAAATAATAATTATGCCATCCTCTTCAACAGAGTATTTTTGACAACTTCATTTAAAGTAGACACTTTTACTATATAATGGTAAACTTGAAGCATGTAAATTTAAATAAGCATACTTACAGTTGTCTTTATTCTTAAACATAAAACGTATATTTTATATTTCTGGATTGTTTTTATTTTTCCATGAAAGTTGTTCATTATAGCCTGTTGGAAGCAAAGGAGAGATTCAATTACTCAGTTTCCTGATTCTTCTCTCTCAAGTCAAGCAATAACTGTGTTCTTACCTGCAGGCAAATCAGTTCATCCCTGTTTCATTTAGACCAAATAAAGGGCATTTGTTTTTCCTTGAATAATTAGCGTTGAAGGTCAGAACATCACCTAAGGGTCTGAAGCAGAATTTCCTGCCATCAAATCCATTTATATCCATCCAACGAAATACACAACTAACCATTTACTGTTATTAATAATTATATGCTTATATCCTTTCTGCTATAGATCAAAATAATCTCATTAAGTGTAGACATTGTGTGAGCCTTTGAATTGACTAGGGAACAAAAGACATCTGCTGAATTTATCCTTTGGCGAACCCATTTGCACTGACATTAACTGTATGCACAGACACACTCCTGACCCCATGATAACTGTTTTCCTATAATAAGTGCTAATGCTTAAGGGTAACTATAAATCTATTAAGTCATCTTAAATTGGAAAAGGCATGGAATCAGTTAAATATTAATTCAATTAAAAGAGGATGACACTTTTTGTTTGTCAGTGACACAACTTTTGTAACACTTTTTCAAGCGTTTATAAAGTTTTTTCAATTACGTTGAAGTCTCTATTCTGGGAAATCCTGTTCTGTGCTATATGTTTTTGGCCTTTCCTGCCTCCTCATGCCTGACTAGAATAAATGGGTAATGAACAGGCCTATGCGGTCCTTCAGTCCCTCTGAGGAGGTACCGTATTTTCCAGACGCTACTTTTTCCCACGCTTTGAACCATGCAGCCTATAAGAAGGTGCGGCTTTTCTTTGGATTTTTCCTAAATGCCAGAGGGAGATATAATTTGGAAATAAAAAAATTATTATTATAATTTAGAGCCTCCTCTTTGGTGGGGGACAGCTCAGTAGATATCAGTGGCTTATAGCCCGGTGCGGCTTATATATGTAAGTTTTCATGTTTTTTTTTTAAATGTAGTGGGTGTGGCTTATAGTGAGGTGCTCCCTCTAGGAAAATACGGTAATTCAGTCTTTTGAATTATATATGCTGGAGCAGAGACATGTCGTAATCATGACGAACTGTGTTCCTGAGGACCACATTTGGAATCCCCTGATCTAAAACATTCATTTGTAGCTTTACCTCCATCTTAGAAAGGGACAAGTGAAAGATGAAAGACTTTTTCAGCACAACAAAAGATCATCCCTCATGATCACCTTGAATTAGGCTGCATCCATCTTACCATCAACTCTGACCACCTTCCCCATCCTGAAATAAAAAAAAAAACCCACAGCATTATGCTGCCATCATCATGCTTCATGGAAGACTACAGTCATCACCCATTTCGATTTTTTGTTCCGTTATCTGCAAATTGGACGCAGAGAAAGTTTCACAAGAACCATTGCAATTCTAGGAGAAAAACGATGTTGCTACTGTACCATCATATGGCAGTATTTGTTTTTCCAAAACACTTCGTATTTTAATCATTTTGACTTAAATTCATGACTAAGGAATCATTTGTATATTATATATATATATATATATATGTGTGTGTGTGTGTGCACAGAAAGAGAGAGAGGGGAATACATAATTTTAGCAGCAAGCAGAAAACAAAATAGGGGAATACTGCGTAAAATTGACATTTACTGTGCTGCAGGTGATGCTGACATGAAGTGTCCAGCCCATTGTTTGGCCATAGCGTGAAAGGTCATGCAGCTAGCATGTCAGAAAGAGGTAATCCGATCTGAAAAGACTTATGGCCAACCATGGGGAAACCAGTCCTCTCTTTTTAAGCACCCTGCCCCTGTATGCCCCTCTTGTTCAGAAAAATCAAACTAATGGGCTGCCGAGCCAAAGCAGGCAGGAGCCATTAGCAGCTCAGCTAGCTCGCTCACAGCTTCTAATTGAGACAGAAAGAGTCTGGGTCAGTGATCAAGCCACCACATGCAAAGATTTCTCTCTATTGGACTTTTCCAGAACAGCAAACTACAACATTCTGTTGCATAAATTAAGCAGTTAAAGAGAAGAATCTAGATAATGAATTAAGTGTTCCTTTAAAGCAAACATTTGGTTACAAAAAAACACAGAGAGAATATCACCTTGATAAATAAGAGTAGGTTTAAAAGATTATACGCTTAGATGCTAATTACGATGCTATTTTCTATTTCCTGAAGAGGAGGACTTTGGCTAAAATGTGTGAACAGCGGTGCCTGGTGCAGCTCGGATCAGATAACTTTTATCTCTCACAGATGATCCTTCTTCCACTCTTCCTTTCCATATTGGAAATCTGAGATGGCAGCACTGAGGAAATATCTGTAAACCAGCCCCGGCCATCTCATTTATTAGAGGCTTGATTGTAGCGGATGGCAAAATATAGGAGGGCTTTCTAATATGTATTCAGTTCACAGATAAAAGTCTTCATTCTAAGTAATGTACTACCTATTCACTCCTCAAACAGGCAATCTAAAAGATTTCAAATTGTTCAGTGTTGATGTGCTCTTGGAGCAGAATGAAACAATTTGGCCACTCGTCTTCTTGTATACGTGATGAACTGATTGGTAGGCTGAGGAGAGACAGCATCTCCCTGAGGATTTGCACTTCAGTGCTTCTTTATCATAGGCTGCATAACGAGCTTAAGAGATGTTGCTAATCTTTTAAGCTAATAAGATGTTTTTCCAAATGCAAGAAGGTGTGTGTCTTCTCGTCTTTGGTGTGAAATATTTTTCTTTAGAAGAGGTTAATTATTTTCTCCTGTTGCATGTCAACCGTAACTGATAAGCCGATCAAAAGTGGTCTTCAAATGTGTTATTTTTTTAATCTACAAAGTTTCTTTGCAAATTAAAGATATTTAAACTGATATATATAACCCTTTCATTTGATAAATCCAGATTTACACTCAGAATTCTGACATAATGAACGTTCCTCAGAGACACAGTTGATTATTAACAATGAATTGTTTTGCTTAAATTGAACATGAGTGTCTAACCTTCATCATCTTTTGTTTAGTATAATGATAATCAAATGTAATTGCTACATAAATGAAATCATGACTACAAAGATTCATTTCCATAGAGCTTTGAAAATGTCTTTGTTTAGTTGAGGCATTAAAAAATAGAGTTTTGCAGGCCATTTAAAATGGGCATAAAGTCAGAGACTCTAGAGGGGCGAAAGGTGCAACAGTTGGCCCATGTTGTGCTCTATTACAAATTTCTATCATAAGCTAATTACAAATGAAGCAGCAATTGTATTCATTTTTTATTCATGAAATGTGTAAAGCACAAAGGTTCAAGCCTGTATAATCTTATAACTACTCCACGGAGCATTTTACCTTTAAAGCGCGTTGATCGTGCTGTGGCAATTAAAGGTGACACTTTGGAATTTATTATCTTGTTCTTTCTGCACTGGTTGATTTGCTTTTGTAGCGTGTGTTAACAGATTATGCAGTTTGTCACACCAAGAAGGAAATAAAGGGCTTAAAAAAAATATATATATATATATATAATGTGTCTATTTCTCTCAATATATAGTTACCTTTAAATAGAAAAGAGGTCAAAAATTCTACAAATTATCATGTTTATATGTAGTACTTTATACTTCTCAGTAAAATGTCATTCCTCCTTTAACTTTTTTGTCCCTAACAGCTCCTTTTACCCTTCCTTTTCTTTGCTAACTGTAGGTATGACAGTTACGGGCGACTCACCAATGTCACTTACCCCACTGGCAGAGTAAGCAGCTACCGCACAGAAGCCGACAGTTCGGTTCGCATTCAGACTGAGGGCTCCAACAGAGAGGATATCACAGTCACCACCAACCTGTCAGCCTCTGGCAACTTCTACACACTTTTGCAAGGTGAGGGTTTCAGTGTTGGGATTATTTCTTTCTTTTTTTTTCTGAGCTCCACATTTTTTGGCAAAGAGCGCATATGTACATCATATTGCATCTAAGTATTTAATCTATATTATTATTCAATTTTAATAAAATAGAATAATCTAAAAGGATGAGCTGTAAAGGCACACATTCTCCTTTCATCACTGCTCCCTGCATGACTGTCACCAGTTCAAGGTTTTTTTTTTCCTTTTTATTTTACATCCTACGTTTTTTCTTGAGGTCTTTGGGAGTGTGTAACAATTTCCTAGCTGTGTGAGCATTGTTCAGTTGTGTTCACAAAAAGCAGACGCAATATAGGGCCTTTAAAAAAATGTTTTATACTCCTTGAACCTCTTCCATATTTTGTCACGTTTCAATCACAAACTTGAATGCATTTTTTAGGCCGATAGACGAGCATATAGACCAGCGTATAATTGGGAATTTATGGGAAATTGATACAAAAGTGAAGAGTGCATTTGTATTCAACCACATAATATTTATGCAAGAAGTGCTTTTTGCTATAAATACAGGTCCAAGTCTTTAGTTTAGGGGGATCTCTTCCTGCTTTGCACATGAATAGATTGAAAGTTATGGCTCATTCCTTATCATTAAATATCTCGTGCTCAGTCAAATTGGACCAGCAGAGATTAAAGTTTCTTTGTCCTGCTTCAGAATGTCAATGGAAATTTTGATAGCATTCTGTGAAGCAGTTCTCAGTGTTTGGAGAAGCTACAATTTGCCTGATCCCAACAAATGCTACAATAAAATGTCTTAATCAGTGATAGAGTAGGATGTTTTGGATGTTTTTTTGTTGTTTTTTTTCCTACCATATTTTTTTTTTTTCAACTTCAGATTTTACTCAGTTTACATTACTTACTCTACTTTAAGATTATTTTAGGATAATTAGCTCTTTTTGCCTCATACATTGTAGCTTTTCTGTCTAGTTATGTAATAGGAATAAAATCGGAGAGCGCAGACCTCATCAATTAGCTAAACGATATTAGATAGATTTTAGATGCCTGTATTTACAGAATCTATCAAAGAATTCCTGGGTTAACATGGGGATCCGGATCATCACCAACATTTTATCACTTGTTGCCAGTCACAATTCACACCCAGTCTGCAAATTTCAGTAACATCTGCCTATAACTTTTTTAAGTTATTTTGAAAACACCAATCCAATGGAGGTAAAAACGTATTCTATTCAAAAAAATTGCTTGTTTGGCTGGAAATCCTTCCTTTGTGCTGGCTGAATGTTGTCCTGCTAGAAGGTGAACCTCCCACCATATCTTTAAGAGTTCTGTAGCTTTTAACAGGTTTAACAGGATTACCTGTATTTAGTTTATCTTGCTAGCTTCTCTGTACCCTCTGACATAAAGCACAGTATAAAACACAATGCTGCCACCATTATTGTGTCCCTCGTATGGCTCTTGACAAATTGGAAGTACCACTTCTTTTGGTTTCCTCTCAGTAATGGCTTTCTTCCTCTTCCTGTCACTCTTGTATTAAGGCCATATCTGAGGAGTGAACTACTGAAACCATTCCTCCACCAGAGCTATTGATCTCCTGAGCTCCTCCTTCTCTAACCAATGCTTTACTCTCCAGCCATTCAGGGTGTTGGTAATTGCAGCTGTGCCATGCTCTTTCCCTTTAGCAGATGATGGACGGAACACTTCCCCATGAGAAGGTCAAACGTATCCCTAATTTAAGCGCTGCCACAACTTTTTCGGTGACCTGCTGGCTGTGTTCCTTTGTCTTCATGATGCATTTATTCTCTAACAAAACTCTAAGGTCCTCTTAGAACAGCTGAATTTATACTGTAAATAAATTACACTCAGATGGATTCTAGTATGTTGGTCTCTTTGCGTACAGTAGTTAGTTGCACTGGGTATTTTGTAAGGCACTGTTCAACACTAAAGAGTGAAGAGTTGTGAAAGGAGATCCTTTATCGCTTATAAAAAAAAAAAAAAACATTTTAATGGTATCTTGTGTGAATTGAACTTGACATTGGGGTTGTTGAGACTCCCCAGAGATCGCATCAATTTTGCAAATTACTGAGCAAATTGCTTACTTGTAATGAATAGATTGCCTAACAGTAATCCATTATGTATCCATTCTTATATACAGTAATTTCAACAGTATATATATGAACCAAAATGTGAAACATTAAATGTGTCTTTGTGAACTTTGGAAACAGAAGTTTGTTCCTCAGGAAGGCCTACTGCTCCATTAGGAAGCCTCAAGGCAAACTAGTTTCAAGAAAAGAGCTGGGGGAAAAAAAATCTTTACAAGCCAACCCTCTTTTAGAAATTGCTGCAGTGAAAGTACTTTGTGGCTCAGTTTGCACTTTCAGAGGCTTTTAAGAGATGTAATTAAAATATCCTAAAGGGTTTTTGTTTCTGAAAACATTACGGCAGTGAAGGCGATAGACTGCACCCGTATGGTTTTGCTTTTCATACAAGGTTTGACCTTTCCAGATGCCATTCACTTTTGGTGGAGAGTGAACAAAATTTCCCCTTATTTTACAATAGTGAGAAAAAAGTAGATGACTCAGGTAAAGGTTTATTAATAGGAGAATGCCAGCTGTGTGATCACTTTTAAATGATTGCCCATAACCAAAACTGTATTGCTTTTTGCTTCTATTCTTAAGAACATGTGTTAGAAAACATCTATTTTCCAGAAAAAAATAAGAATTGATTTTACGTCATAAGCATGAATCAGGAAATACAGTGAAGGTGGTCCACACAAGATCCTCCAGGAAATTCAATGACAAATAGTACTAAAACAATATAACATCCTGTTTGCCCCGACCAGGTACTGATAGCTTATTCATCACTGCGATGTTTTCTATCTGCTAAGTTAGCAAATCCCTCCTTCTAACCGTTCATTATGATTAATATCTTGATTTTCATTGACAAGTATTTAAATCTTTAATTTTTCACTGTTGTTTAACATTTTAACTTCAGATAAGTTACCCTCACATAGACATGCTTATGAGAAATTTAACACCAGAGCAAATGTCTTAAATTAATAAACAGATGTGAACTTTGGACACTGTAATCTAGGTATGCATACCTATATAAAATAATAAATTAATTATTTGAATTATTCAGATTCAGAGTAGCTTTGTCGCAACTCTTTTTTTTTTTTTAAATAAGTCTAGGCACCAAATTTGACCTTTCATGACCTTCCACACCCAAGAGCGACCATTCTGAAGACGTGTAGAGAGTGTTAAAATAGTTTTATATTCCAGTTAATAAAACCAGTTCTTAATGTTTGTATTACGTTTTTTAACAGCGGAATGTTTTTACAAAATTATTAGATGCTGATGAAAATCATACACTCAGGGAAAATCCCCTATAACAGAATCTGGTTAGATGCTTGAAAATGGAGGTAAACTTGTCTGGATGACCTACTCTAAGTGATGTCAATTTCACTCTTAATTGCACTGTCAGTTAACCCTCATGTATCAAAAATGACAGGGGATATCATGTCAACACAACAGTAACACAGCATGGATTAAATAAGGCTGGACATACACTGTACGATATTTTCAATCTTTTTACTCGGCTACAGCTCAAACGATAAAATCACAGGGTTTAAAAGTTCACAGCTAACGATGTAAGTTCTTACACTGTATGACCCTCTGATGTGATCTACCTGCTCACACTGTACACCATAAAACCACACGTCGGACTCAGTGCCAAGAGATGGCAACTGGTCAAACTCGTCAGTCTGGAAGAAGAAAAAGAACTCCCTTGTTTGCACATGCGTTGTGCTTGAGATTATGGTAAATCGGGTCGTAGACACGTGTAGCTCTGCTTCAACAGCAGGATTTACCCATTAACACGTCACAAGGGCCGACTGAATTTCAAACATGTTTGATTTACTCCTGACCCTACAATTCCTGATCAGGAGGTGGTCGGGAGAGGCTGATTGCCCCAGGACACATGAGGAGGCTGAATCTCTGACCGATTAAAAACATTCTCGCACTACTGCAGAATCGGCCTGAAAAGGGGAAAAAATTTGTACCGTGTATGCCTAGCCTAAGCTCGGCAACAGGTGGCAGGGCTTTTTTATTTTTTCTTCACAAAATCAGCTTAATTTTCTCACTTACCATAAAAAATTAGAAACAGTTTGAAAAGATTGTACTTAATATCATCTAACACCATGCAAACCCTCTACCTGTGCAGACAGACATTAAGTCTCTTTAGGTTGCCTAATGGCAGAAGTTAAAAGCATGACCACATTTTTCATTAATTTAGCTGTGAGTCATCTGACCACTTGAAGTAACTCTGAGTTTTAAGATATTACTTCCAGATAATTAATTGAAATCACTGAGGAAGTAGCATGAGAGGTGCAGGAAAATATTACCAGAGATATCCTAGTTTTTTCTGCATATTTAGAGGTAGCCGGAATGACATCTTCCTTGTGGACGTCTGTAAGATGCTCAGAGGAAACATTATTCACTGGTCTTGAAGTGGAACATAGCTTGCTGTCACCCAGGGACAGAAACAGGCAGGTTCAGATTTATCCCCTGTGAATCAGTGGGAATGTGCATGCCCTGCTTCTTCTATGGCCACAGGCAAGCCAGCAGCTTTGATAGTTTTCATATCTCAGCATCCTCCAGGCCGCTGCAACTGCTGTAAAATTTTACTTTACTGGTGCTTTGAAACCTTGCACTATTGATCTTTGTTGTCACAAACTGAACATTACCGTTGTGGCTTGGTTAAATACTGCCGCTAAAGGCTTTCTTTTTTGCTGTGCGGCCATTTTAGGTCATTATACTTGTGCCTCACAAGAGTTATTAGATGTGCTCCTCTTACATCAGCTAGGCTGTTTCTCCCTTTGTAACCCTTCCAATGTCTTCTCTACATCTGTAGAACAAGTTCGGAACAGCTACTTTATTGGTTTGGACGGCTCGTTGCGGCTTGTTCTGGCCAATGGTATGGAGGTTTCCCTGTACACTGAACCTCACCTGCTGGCCGGGACAGTCAATCCCACGGTAAGCAAGAGGAACATCACCCTAGCCATTGACAACGGCCTCAACCTTGTGGAGTGGAGGCAGAGGAAGGAGCAGGCTCGCGGCCAAGTCACCGTGTACGGACGTAGATTGCGGGTAAGACAACAGCTTCTCAAAAATTTTAGATGTGACACATTAGATTAACTGCTGGTTTCATGTTCTGTAGAAATGGTCTGATAACTATTAGCAGATATTAACCTAAAGTAGTGATGCTTAAACCAGTCTAGAGAGAAAAGTGTCAGCTCAGAATGAGGTAACTGAATAGTCCCCTCCTGAGATATTTTCCTTTTTATGTACATATGGAAACAAAAACACTCTTAAACAACATACATTAATCTTTAAGAACTGCATGTTTGGTTGAAATACACAGTTTATTTGAATTTAAACTCAAAAGTTGACATTTTTACAAGTAAAACTAATATAACATACTCTGATATAAAAAGTCAATATGGCTGCTGTTTGCGCAAGTATTATGGTGATATGACTTAAACACATTTCAGGTATTTGAGTATAAGTTAGTCTATCATTAAACCATTTGTGATTTACTGATGTTTTCGGTTTAATGAAGTCTTGTGTTTTGTTTTTGAAAGTGTTTTGTTATTAAACCAAATAAGTCCAAAAAAATTTAAGAGATGAGTTTATAAACTTCGTAAAATTGTTGTCATAAGTATGGTATCTTTCACCCAGTAAATTCTAGTTAATATCTCCTTTGTCAGTATTAGTGAAATAAAAGTCAATAGGAACTAAACAATTACTGATGTTCCTCTTTTGTTGAATTGTCTATAAGTTTTTAAAGGATGAAAGACCCAAAAAAATACAGTAAACCCACAGTATTTCGTTGCAGTTACAATTAAACACACTCATTTAATATGTTCCCTTACTGACTTTTTTAATCTATAGAAAACTAGCAATGCCCTCCCCCTCTGCTCATAAAGCCACCATCACTGAGCTGCTGCACAGAATGAGCCGTTTCAGATGCCAACAGTATTTTCTAAAAGGCATTAACTGGGAGCTGTAATTGGCAACAATTCTTTAGTTTGGACACTCTGATGTCCAACAGCTTACTTTCTTTACTGTTAATAAGATTAATGTGTAAAAGTGATGGGTAGAGCATAGAGACAGGACTGTAAGGAGCAGAATAATGCAGTTCTCCTTGCTTACCCAGAGGTTTTGAAACCAAAAGTGGCTTTGTAAAGTCTTGGAACACCTAGACTAGGGGGTGGTAACTGGTCTATGGCTTAGTGAAAGTTTCTAAATGTTCCACCAAAGGCATGACTCTGTTTTACTCTGGGTATCTGTTTTATTTTTTTTAATATACACTTATTCAGTCTATTTTTGATCACTCTGGAATATTGAACTACATTTTGATCAGTGGTATAGCCCTAGTGAAGTAAAATGTTGCAACAAAAGGAATCACTCAAAAAAGTTTAAAATGTAACATGGAAAAAGTTGACAGTTTGGCTCTCCTTTTTTGGACTATCTGACAATTAGTCCCTGCCTTGCCCATCAGCAAATTGTCATGGGGCAGGAGGAAGCTGGAATCAAGCCTGCAACCTTTTGATTAAAAGATGACTTCTGTACCCACTGGCATAAGGTGGCATCTAGCCTTGTGTCTTTTATGTTTCTCTTTAAGGTAGTGGCCAATTAGTTGATCACATTCATGTAGGTTCCTTCAGTACAGATCCATATTAACCCATTATTAAAAACAACAAAGCCCAAAAACCTTCTTATTTCATTTTTAAAGTAAGTTTCTTAAGTCAGTTTACCTAATAGTGTTGAATATATTATACTGTAACAAGCCTACACACTGTCATGCAAAAACATTCATTGTATTGTTAACTACTGTTCTAACATGATGAGCAGCTAATTCTCCGTCAGTAGGGTGTTGGGAAATGAATTAGGAAAAAACAGCTCCAAGAAGAACAGTATTATGCTGTGCTATGGAGTGGAAAAAGTGCCTTGAATGTGCTTTTCTGTGTTGTGACATTCAAACCGGATAAGGACCATTTGAAGCTGCTGAACAAATCTGGCCATGTAAGAACGAGCAGCTGCCAAAGTCCCCCTGTTGTTATTTACTCTCCAAAACCACTCCAGCAAACTCTAATATTAAAATTTCATCCCCGAGCAATACAAGGCAGCAGCTCTCATCATAGCTGTAGGAGGAAACACAAAAGTTAGCCTGTGCTACAGGCATGGAGACCTTGTAATTTCCATTCATTCTTTTATAAATGTCCTCCTTTAAGAAAAAATAAATAAATCCTCAGTCTCTGCTTTGTTTTTCTCCTGCTCCCATCGTCCACACACTTTATAGTATAAGCTCAATTCAGTTTTGTATTTATACAAATGGACACAAAGCCCTGCTTATTTGAACCTTTTTTATTATTATTCTTTTGAGATCTTAAATGGGTCTGAAATTGTGTCTAAAGTCTGGGAGCACCTTAAATAACATTTGTAAGATTAGTATGACGAAAACATAATAAAAACTGAGTTAATAATTGTTTTACCCCCGTCACATATCATGTGAATTCTGTCATATGGATCATGTCATATGGATGTGATGTTAAAGCAAATAAACAGAGGCAAAATGATGGGCATCATAATCGTGGCTTAACAACCTGTATGGTAGCTTTTTATTGCTGTTTGCTGCAAAGGTTGGCTACATTGAATCATGCTTCGGGGATTTCTTACGTCTAATATTCGAGCAAAGCATCAAAGCATAGTTCAGAGTGTAATCGAATTAGTTTCAGTAAATATGTATATATTTTTGTTGTATCCCCTTAAAAACTCACAGATTTGTCAAGTAAAACCTCCCTTCGTAATGTCTTAAGTATGCAATCCTAAATTTTCCACATTTTCTTTTGACTGCAAATTGCAATGTAGTTTATAGTAATTTTATTTGATTAAAAGTATAATGGAAAATTCTTGAAAAGACCCACCCTCTTCACTTTAAAAAAAATGCACATGCACAACCCCGTACCTTTCTCCTGAGTGGGAATGCTTATTAAATGTGTGCGAGAGCATGCAGGAGCCCATTTCTCCTCGTGCACGCTCTGTATAAAAGTTGCTGTTTGAATTGCTCATGCAAGCAATCTTTCCAATTAAAGATTTGCAATTTTTTCAACAATGTCAGACTCAACACCAGTAAGTGAAAATGGGGAAGAGCACGTAGGACGACCTTACGTAAAAATACCACCAGAAGGATTGACAATAAGGAGGACCACTTATTTTGATGATCCACCCGCAAGAACATCCTCCACTATACCTTTAATTACTGAACGTGATGGATAAATCCAAGATAATGTTTACAATGTTTTTAACAAAATAATCTAAAGTGTGCTGTATGCCTTTGCATTTGGATCACCATGCCTGATCGAACCACCATTCTCTGGGGGGAAATGTATATATGCATTTACAAGCCTTGCCACTGATCTTCAGTTGAATTTAGGTCTTGACTTTGACTGGGCCATTATTGCACATGTGTTTGGCACCTCCTATTGTAGAGAAATTCATCCCCTTTTAGGCTGTGTGACTTGAAGCAGATTGTTTGTTTTGCTGTCCAAGGAGGAGGAGTGGCAGGTTTCTTGTGATTGGCTATCATCAGCTGCACATACTCTATAAGAAGTATCGAGGAGAAAATGTAGGTTTGTTGAATGTTGAAGCTTGTTTTTGTTTTATTTAACTCTACTGGATATGTATTAGGAGATGAATAATTTGATAATATTCATATGCTTGCAGCCATGTTACAACTGCTGCAGTTGTTCAAAGATTACAAAACAAAACAGAGCACATTTTTTTTATCCAACCAGAAATTTTTAACTGATCCTTGATATTGTTGATTAAAATTCATCAACATTCATAAATCAAATTGTTCTTGCCAAATAGCTACTACATAATCCTTAGTTTTTTTGATAATTTCCCAGAGCGTATATTTTCTAGAAGATATTTTTTTCCCCCCTTAACTCTTTAAGAGTATTATATGTTGTAATTTGCACTGCCTTTTTTTAATTAGTAAGACCAAATATAGAAAATAATTCCATATTTCTGCATTGTCTCAGATTATATTTTCCTTTATATAAATAAATATATGTATTCCTAAATATAAAATATTTAGGAATAGGGTTCCAATAGTTTTATAGATCTATGCCTCATGTTGTCACGGTTGCTAGGTGACAGAAGTGACGCTGAGGCGAGGGTGAGGACAGATGCTGAGGGACGGACTTCATTTTTTTTGCAATCTTTGAAGGATGTGGTCTAAGTGGGCAGGGTTGTTTGAAGGATGCAATGCCTGAATGGAGACATACCTAATGAATCTGAGTCTTATTTTTCAAAACAATCTGAGAAAAAAATAACATCTTCACAGAGAACCAACAGGTTTGTTTTATAATGTAATAAATAGAGCCAAACGGTGAAGAATAATGCTCTGCCAGCATGGTGTGCTTGGCTGTGTAGAGCCAATAGCAACTTAGTTTAGGTTGTCTCCTCTGTTCTCTGGGAGGCAACACTGCTAATGGGAAGGTGCCGCTTTGTCTGTCATCGGCTGTTCATTTAATAGCTCTGTCGTCCCCTTTGGAAGTGAAAACGTCTAATGTACGTTACAGACAACGGCCCCCAGGGGTGAGATGGGAAATGGGAGCAGGCCTAATGGCAAGAACAGGGGGGGATGAACAAAGCTGGAATCATTGAGCGACCTTGAGTGACATGTCAAGTGATATTATGTGGGCAGCTGGGTGAGAGTGTCGCAGCGTGCGGCTGGAGTAGTGCAGGGTGGGGTGTTGGAATACAAAACAGATATGCAGCTGTGTAGCATTGACTTCACAGATATCTGTTATGTTTTGTTGTGAGCAGAGGCAACAGGGGAAAGCAGGTTCCTGCTGTCTGAGTTCCAGTTTGTTCCCCTGACCATTTTTGTTGAGCTGTTGAACTATGCTAATTTTTGCACTTTTAAAGGCTAAATAGGTTGCTGGTTTTTACCTTTTCTGTGGTCCTACATTCTGTAGGTCTTCAGCTTTCCATCTCCTCCTAAGCCTTCTTTTCTGATTTACATTCAATAGGAACAGGGACCATATCCCTCAACGATAACAAACCCTCCTCTTAGTTTGGGCAGGTTGTTAATTTACAATAATGAGAGTACCCTTGGGGATGCTACTGCATCACTGAAGCGCTCTTTATCCTCTTCATCACTGAATACAAGACAGCAACAGAAGTGAGATCTGTGTAGTAACAGTTTAGTATAATCTTAATGCTTTATCAGGTGGACCTTTTGTTTAAAAGAGTTACACGTTAGAAAAATGCATTTGTTTATCGCAGTGAAAAACATCCAAACTTGTGATGGTAACGAAAAAAAACACAGACTAGATAAATTCCTAGAATTTATTGAAGGTAGATTTGTAAAATAGCAAATTAAGACTCACTTGACACAAAAATCTTTCCCATTGATTTGAAGATTTGATGTCTCTGTAATGTGTTGTTCACAGAACAGTTAGAAATCCACCATTATGAGTGCAGTGAGCTGCAACCGTCTCCTTTCTTTTTCCACACTCCTACTTCTTTTGAGATATTCCCTAAAGAGACGGCATCCAATTTGAAAATTATTCCCCATGAGTGGGTTTCTGTTCTCATGGGATCTTTGGATCACTGCTGTCAGATGCTTTTCTTCCTTTTTCCACCTTTACAAGATGAGTCTGTTGGAAATCAGCTCACACGGCATGATCAACTTTTCCTTACAGAAAGCAGAGCTCTGTTGCCTTGGAAATATTCTGAGACACTGGGTATTGAAATGTCTCGGTAGATGGGGAACAGTCCTTTTCTTTCCCATTAAAAAACAGCATAAAGCACATAGTACATTGTCCTTGAAGAGATTTGTTTCTTCAAATTAAATGTGTTGCAGTTTGGTTTATTAGACTTCAACTACGGTCTCAATTTGCCACCTTACAGCCAAGGTGCCATATGTGCACACTAATAACTTGCTATCATGGGTTTTAATCGAAGGGTCCACAACCTCGTAGCGGATCACGGCGGTACACCAAGGTGTTGTGAATTTAAAATCTTTTTTTCACAAAGAAATCCAGCTTAGTAACATTTGCAATACTTCTTAAATTACCAAAAAAATGTATTCTGACAATCGTGCATTTAAATATGTTCTATTTTAAACCCTTTAAGTACAACAGCTGAAATCTTTGTCGCCACAACCACGCCCACATGTACCTACCCTTTGTTAACACCCCTCAGCCAGCTGGTAACACCCATCCTGGCTTCTGTTTCTCCATACATCTGGAGGGTCCCAGACTAAAAAAAAAACACATGCTCTGAAGTTTAAGTGAGAATAGTAATTCTAAAGACATCTTGAATGCTCCAATCTTGTGAAATATTACAATTAAAGACTAAGTTCTACGCTCTCCACCACCACCTCTACCATTAACTTAAATTCACTTTAAGGCTGAACTTTCCAAAAATGTTTTTGTGTTAGATTATATCTCAATATCACATGTATCTATGTTATATTTTACATATTTAGCAAAGGTGCCAATTAAGAATTTTTCGATCCGGTATTAATATCGGCTATCGGTCCTATATTAGCCAAAAAACAAATGTCAGATGATAGAAACTCTCTGCTTCTGTTAAAACTTTATGTAAAAAATTGGTCAATTTTACATGAATCAGTTGTTTTCATACCTTTTGTTGTTGACCTTAGTTCCCTGTTTTAGTAATATTACTTGATCAAGCATTGTCAAACATTCTACTGTATAAAATAAGTTATAAAAGCTGGAATGATTAGTGCTAATATCGTATCGGTTTAATATCGGTATCTGGCAACTCTGAAAGCTACAATATCGGTATCGCACTGAAAATAAAAACATTGTATCATGACATCCCCATTGTATATATCCCTCTAAATAGGTCAGTTAGATACCAATTCCCACTGCTTTTTAAAAATGAAAAAGATACCCTCCCAGACCCACTTCTCATTCCTGTAGTTAGATGTCTCTGGCCTCCTGTAAATGTCCATGGATTGCTTCTACTCTCTCGACTCTCTTGGTTTTACTTAAAGTAATCCTCTCAATTGGGTATCAATTGCATTAATTGCCGTTGCTGTAATTGTCCCTTCACAGATGAAGGACTTAAGCATGCATTCCTTAAAGTGAGATTGAAAAAAGGGAGGGTTTCTTAGCCCTTGCCTGGCTTGCTCTGTGGGATGAATCAGGATACTAGCCATAAGCAGGCTTCTAAGCCTTTGACATTTCTAAAACACACCATGCATTTTGATTAATCCAGGAAAAAGCATGCTGTAAGCTTAAGAGGAGAAAAATCATATATTAAGCAGTAATGGCCATTTTTGCTTTGATCGCTTCTGACCGGAGATGGTCAGGTCAAATGTTGAAAAGTTAGGATTTATTTTTCCTTTTCATTAAATGCATCAAAACTAAAACTTCAAACCTTTTAAGTCGTTACATACATCAGCGAACAGCTCAGTCCTGCGTGTATATATGAATAGGAAAAAGAAGTGAGGAGAACTTGTCTAAGAGTAGTGTGGATACATGAGAAAAAAACAAAAATAGTTTGGGTTTCGGTTGGGTTCAGGCCAAGATAGTTCACAGAGTAGTCAAACCATTGTCCCTCTGAAAGTTCAAAGAGTTCATTAAATAAAGGAAATGCAGCAGGGTATTATTTCTTAACTTGGAAGTCACTTACTAAACTTTCATTTTTCAAATGATGAGGTCTTGATCTTATCTCCAATAACAAAAAAAAAAGAACAGTGTGTCAGAATCATTACTACTTGGTCATCCAGACAAGCGCCTATAAGGGGAATCTTCTAAGTCTCTATTTTTGGACAATTTAATCGCATACATGAATAAATCGCCTGATCACTTTCATGTCTACAGAAATGTTTCTTGTCTTGCTCTGCCAATGTGCTCTCATTGTCTTTTTTATTTTTAATAAATACCAAACAGAAAGAAAGGAGTCCTGTACATGTACTTTCATTTATAGGTGTTGCTTTAAATTTGCATCCAAAACTTGACAGACCTAAAAGATTATGCAATACTGTCAAAACAGATCTAAATAGTTGTCACTTAATTAGACATCACATACTTTGTAAGGCAGCACAGGAGGTAATGCATGCAGTGACATTTTCTCATTTGTACTGTGTAACTGAGGCCAAGCTGATAAAACAACCACAACACACTTCAGTCCTTATAAACAGTCACAAACAAACTGGAGCAAAAACCCACCGACAGTGCAACAAAAAAAAAATTTAACTTTATTGTCATTACAGTCAGAAGTACAAAGCAACGAAATGTAGTTTGCATCTATCCAAAAATACTATACAAGATATACATCTTTATTTACATGTGCACAGAGACAATGTATCTATTGACAATAAAAGGTATATATAAACAGAGGGTAATTAAATAAATATGGAAACTATATACAGATAATACAGGAAAGTTAAAATATGGATTATATATACATTAGTGGGCTTATAATACAGGATGACAGATTATAGCAGATAAACGATTTGCAGATTTTATACAGCTAAGTATTTTTTTTTCCAAATTATCTGTTTTTAATAAAAAAAAAAAAGTTTTCTGTGAATTGCATTAGACAGTATAGGGGTGATAAAGCTGACAGATATTTATATCTTTAATGCTTTCAATATTAAGTTTTCTTGCTGGCTCTAAAATATATTGTGTCTGATATTTTATTTATTTATTTGCTTGTTTTTTTTTCATAATTATATGTGTTAAAGCACCTAGAAATTACATAGGAATCAATAAACTTAGAATGCACAATATCAAAGTTGTTAAAATATGAAATATAATTGGTTTGTACATTTTTCTCGCAATTTATTTTCTGGTTTTAGTAAAGAGAAGCTAGAGCTCAATTTTTTTATCTAAGCTGACAGATCGCCTAAACTAGGATTTGAACATGCACATTTGTTCTTACTAACTTACTTAAAAAAGATGTCAAAGTTAAAATAAAGGGAAAAAAAATCTGTGCCTGATAATAATATTTTACTTTGCATAGAAAGGGATTTTTAATGATCAATGCGACTCTCATGTCTAATTCGAAAAAAGACTTACTCCTGCTCTGACTGTGAGTCTTAACACAAACAAAGAATAGAAATGGAAATTCTTCATTACTCGAACCGCTTCTGCTCTCTTGAGATAGTGCTCTTCTATTATAATTAAAAGCTATATTAACAATAAAAGAATAAACCTTTTATGATTAAATACTTCTGTTAAAATGTTCTTATTTAAAAGAAATGAAACAGTTTATTCTCCATAACTTTAAACCTTTAAACATGTATTCCAAAACATTTGTTCTCATCATCAGTAGACATTGCTGTTTAGCAATAACTGTCTACATTCCTGCTTCTTGTCCAACAGGTTCATAACAGGAATTTGCTATCGCTGGACTTTGATCGCATCACCCGGACAGAAAAGGTCTACGATGATCACAGGAAGTTCACCTTACGGATCCATTACGATCAAGCCGGTCGGCCTACCCTGTGGGCTCCAAGCAGTCGTCTTAATGGGGTTAACGTCACTTACTCCCCCGGGGGGCATGTGGCAGGAATCCAGAGAGGCACCATGTCCGTCCGCATGGAGTATGACCTGAATGGCAGAATCACATCCCAAATATTTGCTGATGGCAAATCGTGGAGCTACACTTACCTCGAAAAGGTATCCACCTTTTAAACTTTGATTACAAATACACGGTTTTGATATAAAACTGTTATAAATACTGTTTAAAGTTGCAAATAAAGGCGTGTTTATATAGGAAATTTGATAGAAGTTATTAGACAAGTTAAAAAAAATGACTTGAAGCTTTCTAAGGTGCTATCTGTAGCACATTGAAAGACTTGCTCAAATATCAGCCAAAACATAATTAAAAGTGTCTGGTGCATTGCAGACATGAATCTTTGTTACCGCACTCTGACAGCAAAGTTCAACCAGAAATAGCTCAGATGAAAAGAACTGCAAGATGTGTCGCTTTCTGCTCTCTAATTAAAGGTATGATCATAGGGGAAGGTAAAGAGCTGCTGTTCTCTACCTTAGAAATGTATGATTTAAAAAAATGAGCCTTATCATAACGTTTTACAGCAGCACAGTGAATCTAAAAATAGCCATGATGGGTTGAGAAATATTCATTTACTTCATACTGTCCAGATTACAAGAGTTTAGCAACAAGAGATAATGAAAAGCATTTTTATAACGTTATGTAAAAGACAAAATCTTATAGACTGGGGAATAGGGACTCCTTAAGCTTTAATGGTTTTCATTAATTAGATGTCCAGGAAGTGCATGACTTCATAGGTCTTATCCTGTCAACAACAAATTCCTCTTTCTGTGGATCTCTGCAGAGTCAACACTGATCTCTTCTTTTCTGGCTACTTCTCTAGTTAACGCTGCCCTTGCTCAGGATTATCACATAAACATAACATTTGTGGTTATAACTAGAAAATATAAAAAGGCTAATCTAAACATGAAATTGTTTAGGGTTTGTTAAAAAAAAAGGTGTCTTATAACCTTTTTCTTCTCTTTATCTCATTACAGTCCATGGTACTGCTTCTGTACAGTCAGAGACAGTACATCTTTGAATTTGACAAAAATGATCGACTGTCTTCCGTTACCATGCCCAACATTGCCCGGCATTCCCTGGAAACATCCCGCTCGATTGGTTACTACAGGAACACCTACCGCCCCCCTGAAGGGAATGCATCGGTGCTCCAGGACTACAGCGAAAACGGACAGCTGCTGCAGACCACCCACCTGGGCACAGGCCGGAGGGTGATCTATAAGTACGGGAAACTTTCCAAGCTGCTGGAGATCCTGTACGACACCACACGCATTGGTTTCACCTATGACGAGGTAGCGGGAATGTTGAAAACCGTCAACCTGCAAAGTGAAGGGTTCACTTGCACGATCCGCTACAGACAAATTGGCCCACTGATCGACAGGCAGATCTTCCGATTCAGCGAGGAGGGCATGGTCAATGCAAGATTTGATTATGTCTACGACAACAGCTTCCGAGTCACGAGCATGCAGGCAGTCATCAATGAAACTCCACTACCGATCGACCTGTATCGTTATGACGACGTGTCGGGCAAAACAGAACAGTTTGGCAAGTTTGGAGTCATTTATTATGACATAAACCAAATTATAACCACTGCGGTGATGACCCATACCAAACACTTTGATGCCTATGGTCGGGTAAAGGAGGTCCAGTATGAAATTTTTCGTTCTCTCATGTACTGGATGATGGTGCAGTATGACAACATGGGGCGTGTGGTGGCTAAGGAGCTGAAGGTTGGCCCTTATGCCAACACCACACGCTACACCTATGAGTATGACGCTGATGGCCAGCTCCAGGTGGTCTCCATCAATGACAAACCTTTGTGGAGGTACAGCTATGACCTGAATGGCAACCTTCACCTCCTCAGTCCCGGAAACAGCGCAAGGCTCACCCCGCTTCGCTATGACATCAGAGACCGCATCACGCGCCTGGGTGATGTGACATACAGGATGGATGAGGATGGTTTCTTGAGGCAGCGAGGAAATGACTACTTTGAGTATAACTCAGCCGGCCTGCTGACTAAGGTGTACAATAAAGTTAGTGGGTGGAGCATCAAGTATCGCTATGATGGCGTGGGGAGGAGGGTTTCAAGCAGAAGCAGCATGGGCCACCACCTACAGTTCTTCTATGCCGACTTGTCCAGCCCCACCCGGGTCACCCATATGTACAACCACTCCAGCTCTGAGATCGCCTCGCTTTACTATGATCTGCAGGGACACCTGTTTGCCATGGAACTGAGCAGTGGAGATGAGTTTTATGTTGCGTGTGACAACATTGGCACGCCTCTCGCCGTGTTCAGTGGTTCCGGCATCATGATCAAGCAAATCCTCCACACAGCATTCGGAGAAATCTACCTGGACACAAATCCAAGCTTCCAACTTATAATTGGCTACCAAGGAGGACTATATGAGCCCCTGAGTAAATTGGTCCACATGGGAAAACGGGATTATGATGTCCTCGCCGGCCGCTGGACAACACCAGACCTCGAGATCTGGAGTCGCCTGAACAACAATCACATCGTGCCATTCAACTTGTACATGTTCAAGAATAACAATCCACTCAGCAATAATGAGGAGACAAAGTGCTACATGACAGGTAATTTATAAAATATTAACTTTAATAGATAAGGACTACTTTCAGTTGTGAATGAAACAATAGTGATAATTACTGTCATCTTTATTGGTCTTTACAACTTTGCACATTCTAATAAAATTCAATTTATCCTATTTATAAACTGCAAGACATTTAGCTCCATATTTCAGTGACTGGGAAGCAATCTTTGTATAAGGTTTGTGCTCAGGGACCCAAGAAACTTGCAGCCTTACCAGTAGACATGCACCCAGCTCTACCAGTGGTTTATCTCTTCCACCCAAAATTATGTTAACTAAACTTTACAATATTAGATGCTTTGAAGTATGGCGGATATATTATTTCTTTAAATTTTGCAGTACAAAAAAAAAACAACAAAAAGAATTTTTTTTTGAATAATGTAGAAGTGTTGTATGAATTAGTTTTTCTCATTGGTATAAGGATTTAAACTGTGACAAAAATATTTTCTTTTGCAATAAATTTACTAAAACCTTTGCACAAACTGGTAAAGATTTATGCTAAACTTTTTCTTATATGAAATTGTTTAATAATTATTCATTTTTGTTGCACAGATTTGCTGCATGAAATTTGTTTGGGAAAAAAGAGGGATGTTCAGCGCAAGCTAATTTGACAAAATGACACCAAAGTCTAATTTTAGCTAACCAGGGAAATAAATGATAACTTCGTAAACAGGAGGCACCCTAAGAAAACGTTACCGTGGTAACAATTTGCAGGTTTTTATTTTTATTTTAACGAGATGAAACTTTGGATTCTGGCAAAAACAGATGTGATAGCAGCAGCTATGTATGCATCCTCCTGCGTTGCTCTGTCTTTTATAGTTGAGCTGTGGGTTTGCCACCTCGTGCTTTCATCACAGCTGTATGTCTTGCCTTGAACATAACACTGCAACATAACTTCCCAACCCATCTGCTTGCTAGTGAAATAACTAATAAAGGTCATAAACAGTATTTACAAGAAATTAATTTTAATTTTTGCTTCCTGAAAGCAATTTTTTTAAATCAAAATTTATTTATTTTTTTAACATTTATATTCCAGAAATCAAAGCTTAACTAGTAATTTGATATGTTCAAAAATAATCTCAAAGTATTGGGCTTACTAGATGTTTCAGAGCTGAATAGCTAGTGTTAGAGTTCTGAGTTTTTTATGTGCTTACATGCATTTATGCCTCTGCATGCACCCAGCGGCTATCATTTTGAAAGTGCTCAACAGGAGCTGTGCTTTACGGCCAAGCCCTCTCTACTGTTCAACACTCAGATCCTTCACAGAAATACCCTCTGTTTCTTTGTGTTATGGGGAGGAAAAATGACAGAGAAAGCACGGCGGTGGATAACAGGAGGGATTCATAGAACTCATAGCCATGGCTAGTTACATCAACCTCAGAGGCTGGAAGGAAAACTATATTTACAATAAAATCCTCAGTAGTTAAAGGAATCAACCATAGTCATTCATGAATTTGTAATTGTGCATTAATTTTTGTTACACATGCATAAGATTCTTTTATGAATTATTATTGAAGTATGTGTCTTTTACCATTTATTCTACTTTAATTTTTATGCACCATGTCAAAGGTTAAATTAAGCCTGTTCTGCTCAGTTGCAATCTAGCTTTCAACTTCTTCCACTTTAACAAAGTCATTCAACTTCCTTCCAATGAGAGCAGTGTTTAGCTTCACAGTTCTCCATGAGGGGCTCTGAATACTAAACAAACCAGTAGATATACTGCAGTGGGTCTGCTTCAGCTGTGATTGATGGCACTGACATTTAAATTCCATTCACTGAATGACTCTGGTCCTTTCATTGTTCCCAAACAAATTCTTGTTTAAAAAAGCTTTGTTGTGCGCCGCAGTGGTACATTGGCAATCTGTTGCCACCCATGTGCTGTGGCAGTGCTTCTGCTGTCAATAACAGGAGCTGGACACAAATGGCTTCGACTGAACGGGTTTTGCTCCCCGACATGTTTCTCTTTGATTCTAAAATGATCATGTTTACGGTTCCTTGGAAAGGTATTATTACCCAGTGGACTAGTTCACATTTTTCACTTTTACTTTAATGTGTTTTATTTGACCAACATGTAGCAAAGAATTCTGAAATGGAAGTAAAAGGATATTTTTTTCACCTTTTTTTCTCTTTTTTTGTCCAAAATCAAAAGTGAAAATATACCAATGCCTTAATAGGTTTAATGACCCGCAAAATTTAATTACAGTTTAATTACAGCTATTACTCACAGTTAAACACGGTGGCAGCAGTATCATGGTGTAGGCTAGGTTAAAATGTATTGTGAGGATTCACGGAGCTAAATTCAGGGGAAAAAGCAAACTTGGAAGTATCATACTATGGTGGTGCTTTTTTTTTATAGCAGTTGTAGGGCAGCTGTTGAGGTTAGTAGAAGATGAATTATATAAATGCAGGGAAACCATTTTTTAAAATCTGGTACGTGCTGCAAAAAATGTAAGGCTGTTAAACACAAACTTTAACCAAGATAATGACTCTAAACATTGTGACTAGGTTTCCAAGTCAAAACGAGGCCTTAATGCAATCAAGAATTTATGGCAAGGATCAACACCTTTATTTTTACCGACGTACATTTTCCAACTTGGGGACTGCTAAATCCAATGTTTGCCCCCATTTTTATTCAGGGACACCAGAATAAAGGCATAAAATGAAAAACAACTCTTTTATTTTACAAGTACTGTTTGATGTTCAGTCATTCAAATTTCTAATAAAACTTATTAAAGTAGTTGGTTCTTAACATGAAGAGTTTGAAAAAGTTCAAGGGGAGGGAGTACTTTAGCAAATAACATCAAAAGTGGATTGCAGCAGCACTAATAACCGCTGCGATGGCTGCCGTTCTTAGATGGATCGCATTATCCTGATTGCACCGAGTTAAATCTTGCAAATGTCACTTGCCTCCCCACGCATCTCATTAGAGAGATAGTACTGTTAGAGAAATCCTCTGGGTGTTCAAAATATCTTTCTGTTGAAGTTTCTGGTGACATGAAATTGCAGTCCATAATTAGAGCAGGCGTGCTCAGATGTTGTTTCTGAAATCCAGCTGTGTGTCATTAGCGGGGCATCTGCAGGAGTGGACATGAATCACTCACATCATCTTGAGTGTTCAGGATAGCTCATCCACTCTTCCAAACAAATCAAGTGCTCTTCCAGCCTGAGGAGCATTTTCACGAGGCAGCCACTTAACCACAAAATGCCAACTGATCAGATTCAACAAATTAATCATGTTTCTTTATTTGTCTAAACCCTGAATATTTCTGCAAAAGTGAATCTTTTTTTAACCTTCCCTCCACAGATGTAAACAGCTGGCTGGTGACCTTTGGCTTCCAGCTGTATAATGTTATCCCTGGCTATCGTAAACCAAGCACAGAGAGCATGGAGCCCTCCTACGAGTTAGTCCGCACCCAGATCAAGACACAGGAATGGGACAGCACCAAGGTAGCCACTCATCTATCTCAGCTTTCACCCTAAAGTATCGTCTTCTGCTTCTGTCCCATTTCTTTTCCCCATCATTAGTAAATGAGCATGCTCTTTGAAGCCACATTCCCAGAGGAGCTGCTAACTACCAGGGCAAACATGGCCTGGTGAGCCAGGTCTCTGCCCCTTCATCCCCATCTTGGGGAATGGGGTCAGGCTAAACAGTTCTTGTAATTGTCCTGCCATTAGGGAAATTCACTCTCCATTCCCCTCCACCAACGACCATCGATTTCATCTCGGTGTTACTCTGCTGGCCAAGGTCTCAGAAGGAGCAGACATGTTCTGATTCTCACTTGTATCAGTCCTTTTTAGGTTGCCCCCTACTCACCTGAATAATTGAAGAGGCCATTGTTGTTTTCATGCTTTTGGTTACAGCCAGACAAGTGAGTGGCACCCCACCGGAGGAATGGATTTCTGTTGCATGACACTCAGGCTGTTACCTAAACAAAAAATGCTTGTCGGTGTAAAAGACAGACATCTTAAAGCTGCTGCAATGATATTTAAATAAGGTTATTAGGTTTGACCTCTAGTCTGACTAAACATAAATACCATCACACTAACATTGCATAATAATACAGAACCAAACCTGTTTCTTCAGATGTCTGATGAATAAATGACTGTTCTTATGTCTTTTAATGGTATGAATGTATTTGCTTTCTTACCTACCAAACCTCACTATTTATATGTTTACATTATATCATTTAAAATATATATTAAAATGTTATTATAATCTATACATTACCTTTTTATTTGTGTTTAGGGCTTTTTTATGTCAAAAGCAAAACTGATAGTAGAAAACTATCCCGGATGACAAAAGTGTAGAACAATGGCCTTTCTAGAAACAAATAGTGTATTACAATGATGGATAGACCAGTTGTTGTTATTTCTGGCTTTAATTTGTGAAAGCACCAATATTTAATCTGTCTAATATATAAGAGTTATACCAGGATGGTGGAAACATTGATGGTGTCCTCTTTCGTAGGCTGTAAAAGCTCCTAGGATTTACTACAAAGAAGACGTAACAGCACTCTAAAAGCAGTAAATTATAAACAATGCATAAAACTTTATTTTAGACGTATGCCTTCTTGTGCCACTCTCAATAAGATTAAAACTGAAATTTCATATTTACTTAGTTGGTTTTGAGAATACATTTGGCTTCCTTTTGTCAGGAAACAGAATATCTATTATTATAAATTAAAGATTTTCCTATAAATGTAGCGCCTCAATTACTTTTTGGTAATATCCATTAGAGACCTAAATAAGTCGTGCAGTAACTGAGGATTTGAATTGCTAGGTTAGCCTCATTTTGAAGATTTTCTTCATGTTTCTGAGGTTTTTTGCCTTCAGCACACCTCCGGATCCAGATAATTATTCCTCATCCTGTTCATGAGCTGAGGTGTGATATTTTTATCCAGAATCCTTTTTTCTGAAAGGATGCCCTGAGATGGTTAATGCCAGGTTGATCCTCACTGCAAATGGCCAGATAAGCCCAGCAAGGTATTGGGTCTTTCAAGAATCAATATAACTTTAAAAGTACATGCTGTACAACTATACCTTGGCATTTGATTGTATTTTATTCAGACAAAAAAAAAAAAGAAAAGAGCGGTACCCTTTCTATCTCTGTCTGCTTAAGCCCCTGTTTTGTGATGCAGCTCGATCCATGCAGAGATTGAAAAGTGCCGTGAGCAGCCAGACAGATGAGGTTTGCGATGCGCAGGGCTCTATCTCTCATTCGGGGTTTTGCTGGGGGCTCATTGCACCCCCTGCTATGTGACTGATGCCTCTCTTGGAGTTTCCCCTTGAGGCTGTTTCAGTAAACTGGAGGACATTGCACTTTGCCCCCACCCAAAGCTTGGAACAGCTGAACAGGTCACATGGTGGCACGGTAAACTAACATGGAGTGGCACTCTGTGAAGTCTCCCAACCCCCACCGCAATGCCAGTGCTTCCAAGGACCCCGATTGGCACAAGCGCCCTCTCGCCTCCTCCATTTGACATGCGTTCATCCAGGATCTGGTGTAGTTTTCTGTCAGCCAGTGGTCAGACATGCTGCTCGTAGCACAGAGCTGTGCTCCCATCATTCCCTCTGCCCACAGCCACAATTTAAGCAAGACACAGAGTCAGAAATAGAAAACTGTCAGGAAGGCTTTGCATGTTACTGCCTGGCAAGAACTCCTCACGATGCCAAGAGGCTCATATGTTGGGTGATGACTTGAAGGCACAGCAGTTTTCAGAGCCGCTTGGTTGTCGCTCACATGCACCCCAGCGACTGCGTCATTGTTTTCTGTCCAACTACAATATCACATCGTCCTCTCTGTTTTTCGTCTTTCTTTCATTTTGAGGAATATCCCTTATCAAGTAATATTAGGAAAAAGCATAAACATTGGCTGGAGGGGATGTGGTATCTCCTTTGTTCCTTCACAGAATGAGTTGTGTTGCATACTTTAGTAACCAACAAACTCCTGCTTTATATCTGGTTCAGCAGTACTATAGGAAGACTTCAGGTTGAGAATTTCTCTGATCATAATATTTTCAGTCACGGATTAAAAATCTCAACAGCTACCTCGACTATATAGCGATGCTTTCCAGATCCATGCTGCAAAGCATCATGGTTCTGTTTTGAGGGGATTAAAAAAGCTGTTGCAATATTATTTTTGATAGAATATGCAAATAAAAATTCATAAAAGTTAGAGTGAAAAAATCAAAAGGGAAAATAAATGTTGCACTTAGATTTAAAGAAATACTATATTGATTTTTGTTCAACAAGTTCATTCTATAATTTAGAGGTTCTTATCTCTGTTTTCATATCAGTACAAAAAAGATCCCTCTAAATTATCCTTGCATGCAAGTACTTGACATTTTGAAAAAGGAGCAGCAGCTTTTGTAAATAACCATCTGTAAGCTAAAATTACTTCTTACTGATGTAAAGGTTGCTACAGCTAATTATCTTGAGATATTGTGAATAAAGTAATACACTTTACATTGGCTTGCCATGTTATCCATAGCACTTGAGGTTTACCTTTTCACCTTTAGTAACAAATGTATTATTGCAGTTTTATAACATTGTTATATGACAAACCAACACAAAGTAGTACATGACTATGAAATAGATAAAATGATTAATTAAAAAGTATATGATACATATCAATAACAAGTGCGCCTAACCTGACATAACCTGAGGAAACAAGAGCTCAATTCAGAGGCTCCTGGTAAGTAAACACAGAGATTTACAGCTCAAATGGGACAATTTGTTGACTATACATCTATCGCTCATGTGTCCATCTACATGAATTCTCTAACAAAAGTTTATGTCACAACTCTGGGGAATTCTGGGGTGTTGGTGTCTATATATTCCTGCAGACGATCGAGCCACTTGTTTCATGTCACTCCACGATAGGGAAGCGCCTTAGATGCCACCCTTGAAGACTCAGCTTTTCAAAGAGCATTTCCTACACAAACACCTGTGAGGCTTCTTGGTTTCTCACTTTAGGAGTTACCTCAGCATGTACATCCTGCACAAAGTCTTTATGCTTTTTAACTGGATGCCCTTTCTGCTGCTGTTGGGGTTCAAACTGAGTCCCTCGTATCAAGTGGTCACTTGGTTAAACAGCATTTTGTTTAGAACTATCAGAGTAAAGAGAGCTAAAATTAAATACATGTTAAACTTAGCTAAAAATAATCACTTGTACGGGTCTGCCGCATAATTCAGACACTTCCCTCTGGCAGGAGGCTGCGGTCGATCAGGACCAAAACCTCACGCCACAAGAACTATTTCTTCCCACCCGCTACAGCCCTACCAACAAGCCCTACCAGAAACCCCTGTGACACTGACACTGCCTCTCTCCTTCCAACGTTCAGCACCTAGAAGCTACATCCACATAGCATCTAGAGACCTCCTGCTTTACATTAACACACAGTCTACTGTGTATATAGAATATATCTATATACTAGATATTGTTTGTCTGCATCATCAACACTAAGTAAAATTCCTTGTAATTGCAAACCTACTTGGTTATAAACTTTGTTCTGATTCCAATAAAGAATGTCCAATTTGGGAAACAGTATAACAAAATGCACAAAATGGTGAAGTAAGAATATTATTTCAAAGAAGTTTTATTCTATATCATATATTTAAAATTGCTGCTGGAATAAATGAAGACATTAGACCTCTCTGCTGCTGCTGTTGCTGATGCTGCAGGGGCCATGACTAACCAGTGCTGTCTTTGTTTTGCAGTCACTGCTGGGCGTTCAGTGTGAGGTTCAGAGGCAGCTCAAGGCCTTTGTCAAGCTGGAACGCTTTGGTCAAATCTACAAAGCCAAAAGTGCTGGATGTCCTCAGACTGAGGGGAACAAGATCTTTGCTTCTGGCGGCTCTATCTTCGGAAAGGGGGTAAAGTTTGCCATCCGAGATGGTCGCATCAACACCGACATCATCAGCCTGGCTAATGAGGATGGACGCCGTATGGCCGCTGTTCTAAATAACGCCGTCTATCTCGAAAATCTACACTTCACCATTGCAGGGATGGACACCCACTACTTTGTCAAACTGGGCTCAGTGGAGGGAGACCTAGCCCTGATAGGAATGACAGTGGGTCGCCGCACGTTAGAAAACGGGGTCAACGTCACCGTTTCTCAGGTCAACACTGTGCTGAACGGCAGGACTAGGCGCATTACTGACATCCAGCTGCAGTATGGAGCACTGCTCCTGAATACGCGGTATGGCAGCAGCGTGGATGAAGAGAAAGCCCGTGTGTTGGAGCTGGCCCGGCAGAGAGCCGTCGGGCAGGCCTGGGCACGTGAACGCCAGAGACTGAGGGATGGGGAGGAAGGCTCAAGAACCTGGACTGAGGGAGAGAAGCAGCAGCTTCTTGGCTCAGGGAAGGTGCAAGGCTATGATGGGTACTATGTAGTTTCCGTTGACCAGTACCCTGAGCTGGCAGACAGTGTCAACAACATTCACTTCATGAGACAGAGTGAAATGGGCCGAAGGTGACATGAACACGAGGCTTCTGAGTGACGGACTCAGATGTAGGAAATGGGACTTCTTGCCAAAGACAGTTGTGTACATGACCACGAGTTTTTTTGTTTTTGTTTTTTTGACTGTGCTCAACTTGGTTTTCTAATATGCTGTAAACAAGCAACAGTTGCAAACAGCTGCACTGTACTGACAGAGGAGTACCCTTCCCCTGAGGATTCTTTAACAGTCTTTGCCCTCCAAGTGCGGCTGCTAGAGGATGAGAAATTGTGATGTCTAATGGCGTATTTTTGTGACTCCATTTCCTCATGGCTCTTTGTGGTTCTGTTCAAAGGAATCCGAGGAGTTTTGGTAATGCATTATGTTTTCTCAGCTTCCTCTCTTCTGCCAGACTTTTGCAGATTGTAATTCACTAGCCTGCTCCATTCTGCCTTTTTCTGCGCCTCAGCCAAGGAGATTCCATCTCTTTTAATCACTTCTTTTTTTAATACTTGAAACCCTCATAGCCCCTGTCATCCATAAATAATGAGAGAGAGATTCCCGTTGCCGTAATACCCTTAATCAAAACCACTGCTGAACTTGTCAAAGCACCTCCATTTGTATGATGTCTTGGAGTTTTATGAGAGGAGGCTTTGTGCTCATTTGTGGTCTTGGGTCCGAAGTTCCCTGTGCAGCTGAAATCTGCATGTGGGGCTTTTTTATCAAGTACACAATCTGTAAAAATGCTCACTGATGGTGCCTTACAAAAGGATTCATACCTATTGGGCTTTTTCACATTTTCTCCAGTTACGACCAAAAACAGGAGTGTATTAATTGGACTCATATCACAGGTCTATGAAAGGTAATGTTTTAAATATAAAAGTAGAAATATAACAAGTTGAAACCTAATAAGAATCTGCCTTCTATATTTATTCAGCCTAATTTTCTCTGATATCCTTAAACAAAACCTTCCACAGCCAAGTCCAACAGTCTGAAATTGTATTTAACATCATATTTCAGATAATATTAATGAATTTGGCATAAAATATCATTGAAAACATAAATTTTGTTTTTTTTGTAACGTGACAAAATTAGTGGGAAAGCTCAACAGATAGGATCATTTTGCAAGGCTCTATAGGCCTACATTTCAAAATGGTGCAATCTCAGTAAATTAAAATGTAACTGAAAAAAAAACGTATTTGATTGAATCAATTTCAAAGTTGGAACTCATACATTATACGGGTTTGTGACGCTGAGTTTAACTTCTTTATGTTTTGTCATTTCTGATAATTATGTTTTACAGCTAATGAAAACCAAGTGTTATCAGAAAATTAGAAATTGCAATAGGTCCAATTCAGGCAGATGTTTTAATCCAGAAATATTATGTTATGATTACTTTATTTCTTCTTATAACTTCTGACTTGACAATTTTTGCAGGAGTCATTGACAAGCTCATCAAACCTCTGCTTTAACACATTGATAATTTCCTGCTTTCCATATGGATCAGTCCTGAGGGGAAATGAAGTTACAATGGCAACATTATAAAGAAAAGTCGTTGCAAGAGTTTGTGGAGGAGTCACAATGTATAGACCGTGGCCTCAACCATCATCCACTAAAGGCTTTGGTTATCCCTGTTGCTTTGTGCACCTTATGGTATCACACATTTTCCTTCCAATCAAATTTCTCTGAAATGCTTGGATAAAGATCTCCCTGGAGAGTTAGATTCCTTATCAATGGCCTATTTTGGACAAATATGTGAGGTTTTCATGTGCCACAAGGCATTATTAAAATTATTTTTTTAAAAACCTTCCTACCTGTGTGTAACTAAATTTTCTTTTACATTCTAATTGATTGAGATGCACCAAAAAAAAGAAAAATATTTAATTTATAACTGTGTTTTATTCCAATTTTAACAGGATTTTTGCAAAAGAGAAATACAGGATAGATATTTGTTTTTAGTCTGTGGTCAGGCAACTCAATCATAAAACTACATTAAGAGCCAACTCTGTAAAACAATACTGTGGAATTATTGTGTGTATTAAAGAACAAAAAGGTATTTTATGGGACTGGTTTTGAATTATATTTTCAGTTTGTTTGTTTTTTATAAATAGCTATATGAATTAACAGTATAACAAATGTGAATAAAAAAATGTGAATTATTGTCCCTTTTATTGTTGATTGTTGTACTTGAACAATACTTGGGGGTGTTTGAGCACATGGATTAAAACAATGAGAATGGTTTAGTTAAATCCCTTACTGTGTATTTAATTAGACTGACTGTTTTTTATGGACCTCCTTGTCGGCTGCACTAAGTCAGTATTCCACAACACAGTGTCCAATTAATTTAAGCTTTGGATGAAAATGGTTTTAAATAGCGTGAGGCTAAGGAGAAGGTCAAGGAAAGCAGTTAATTCAGTCATACATGCTCCATTAGCATATTGGCTGCAGAGTTAAATGAGCTTTGGGTTGTACCATGGGTCTGATGAAAGATACAAATTGCCTTTGCCCTAAGGGCTGCCTGCAGGTCAGCGTAGAAAGTGCTTTTATTCTTCAGAATAGCGCTCCCTTATTTAGAGGAAATGCATTTGACCTGCAGGTGTTGTGGTTCCCATTTCCAGACTAATTGTTGTCTATACACACCAACTTTTGTAAAGAACCCACATGAACCCCCTGCACACAGAAATCCCTTCTGTTTTTGTCCCTCTCCCAGTGGATTCTGAAAAAGGACAATTCGCTTGTGCTCGTTTTAGAATGTCATGATGTGAAAACTCATAAGGTGACAATTTTGACAGTTGAGACATAGATTTGACTTTTGGTACCATTTTGAACTATGCCGAGCCTCTTCACACTCTTGGCTGTCATCTTCCCATCAAGCATATAGACTTCTCTGTGTGTCTATTACTGGTGAGAGCATGACTGAGTGTCTCTGTACAAACGATAAAGAAAACTGGACTTTTTTTTTTTTTTTTTGCTGTTTATTTTTTTATATGTTGGTTGATTCAGTGGCATTTTGTTCCTGAAAAACAATATGTATGTTCAGCATAATATGAATGAAGGATATTTGCATTGTGGAATATTGCACTGATAACTGTTGCGTCATAAGACTGTATCTTTTTCTAAAAGTTTTTGGACTCATTTTGAGTTTTGGTTTGTTCTCAACACTGTGTTTTTAGCGCTTCTTCTGACTGTGTAAATATGAGGACATCCAAGTAAGCTGTAAATAAAATGCAAATGTAGATACCTCTTAGAGCTACATTGGTGACCCTGTGTAGTCTTAAGGTAGAAAAAAAAATAAAGGGAATATTTTGTGTTTATGTTTTGTGTTAATCTCAAATATTTTTTTCTTGCATCACATCATAAAAGTATCCATTTTTTTTATCTTGCAAAGTGAGTCATTCCCTTGGAAATGTTTCTTATTGTGATTTGTTACAACCACAGATTTAACCAATATTATCTGATCAACCAGCACAAAGTAGTGACTAATTACAAAATATTTAGACATCCCTTCAAATTTTAAAGAAAATACAAATCTGAATAGTCTTTGAAAACTGTAAAAGTAGATATTCTGCACCCTGAGGTTTGTACTTTGTAGGACTCCTTTAAATGAAATAACTGCTGCAAGTGTTTTGGTGGAGATCATCTGCGAAAACCAACTTTTTGAATCTTAAGAGTCTGTTCCTGTGTTTTGACTGGACGGACGGATATGCTTTGTTGAACCATTTCACTGCAAAATACCTAAAACTCAGACATGTGGACTGAAGCACGCCTGTGAAGAACACTGTTCAAAAATAAGTCTCACAGCCTGGATGATGTTTTTTTAGACGAATGTGACATGTTAGTTTTCTACCAGGTGTAATATTTTCTAACTAAGGAGGCCAATAAGTTTTGTTTTGGTCTCTCCTTACCAGAGCATCATTTTCCAGCTGGAGTATATGTCAATTTTAAGGCCCACGGCCTGAATCAACCTGCCTTAGCAATTTATCCGGCCCTTAAGAGGCATATGATGTCATAAAACTTTGTCATATATACTATTAAAAAGTGATGCGTGTAAAAAGAGGCTCAAACTGCCAAAAAAATTTGAGTAACTTCATGGCAGCAGGGCAATGTGCTGCATGCAATAAAAATGTTGAAATTGAAAGTTTAATTTATATAGCGGCAACTGACCCATTTAAAGACTGAATAACACCGAAGTGGCTCGATATATAAATAAGTTTGATACCCCTGACCTAGAGTTTCCTCTACATCACTAACTGCAATCGGGAATTCATATGGCTGTTATCTAATGACTTTTTGTCTCTGGTCCCTTTTATGGCATAGTGGGGTAATTCTGCATTGTCTAGGCAGTGAACACAGGTTTGAATCAGTAATAATAGTCGACATAAACATTCAGGGTAGTCTTTTGTGCAAGTTTTAATTACATACTATGGGCTATTATTTTGAGTTATACTATCATAAAAGTAAGCACATTTTATATAAATATATTTTTAGACAGCAGTCACAAAGTTCTTCCCATTAGTAATACAGTTATAAAGACATTAAAAAAGAATAACAATATAGATTATCATAGCTACCTGCAACCAGTGAGGCTAAAGAGTTGAGAAAAAATAAGTTGCTTTTTAAAAGTCAGCAGTAGTATTAACTTGTGATTTAAATACTTTTTCAAGGCAAAGTATAACCATACTGTTTCCTGCATAGATATTAGATTGTACTGTTCACTTTCATCTCTGGTCTGTTACCCCTACTTTAATTCTCTCCCTAGGATACAAACTTTAACAAGCATAATTTGATACAGTAGGATACTTTATTATGGTTCTGTTCAGTTAAACAAGCTCAGCCACCTGTTTAGGCTTTGAAACAATTAGTTTTTCTCATGAAGTGAACATGTGGCTGAATGCCAGTTCATAAAGTAGGGTCTATTAATGAAACCATCTCCGCAGTGAATGTATTTAACTTTCAGATGACAAGCAAGCCTCAAGGGAGGCTGAGTCAAACTTTGCTATTAATTAACCTGTCGAAGTCGAGGACCAATCCTTCAGAGTTACAAGAAGCCACCAGGAGGCTGTTTTTCAAAAACTTGATAACTTAGTTAAAACAAGTGGAGCTCAGGGGGCAATGCCGTTAGCATGATGAGAAAGCCTGGGGAGTTAGCTGCAAGCATGTGGTGGCACTAGGAGAAATAAGAACATTTACACTCACTGAAGGCAGAGGTGCTCCAAGGAAAAGCAGACACTTTTGTCTTGACTACTTGCATTAATTTGAGCCAAAGAAATCACCAGTTCTCTCAGTTAAGGACAGGAAACTTTCACTTTCTGATGTTTCTGCTGCAGCTCTCAATATTTCAGTCAGTGGCTCTCATTTTCATTGAGATGGCAAATGATTTTTAAAAGAACATCTGTTAGTAGGGAACAGAAAGTGCTGCAAGCACACAGCTTTCCCTGTGGCAGATGCCTCTCTCTGCTGCACAGGGGCTACATTTAGCCTCCTTGCAGCACTTAAATGTTCCCTTACATAGATGTTCCTAAGTAGAATCAGATTAACAATGACTTCACCTCAACCTCTAGCAGAAGAAGAGTGAAGAGCCATATTTTGCTCAAAAACGAGAAATATTTTTATTTCTTATATATATATTGTAATGTTCCTATCGATTGCACAAAGGATCATTGTAATGTAACAGAATATTAATCAAAACAAAGCAAAATAACCCAGAAACCCAGAAATTTCTAATTAGATTCTTAAAAATATTCATGTAATTTTTTTCATGGTTTCTGTATAGAAGCATATACATGCCAAAATTTGATAAATGAATAGATCATTAAATCATTCTATATGTCATTAGAAAAATAAAAATGTTTTTATAATATTCATTAGCTTTCTATATGCACATATTATTGTAAAACTATTGAACGATATAAAGAAATATACAAGTAATCTAAAAAAAACTAACCAAGCTGCTTGAAAAAAAAAAAAAGTGCCATCCCCAACTACATAAGTAAGCACACCCCTAAAACGGGACTTTTTAAAATACATAGGATGATACAATTTTATGATTAAGTCTTCTGTGGTAGAAATCTAGCAGATTTTTAACCTGTAAATATTTAGCAACTTTACCTTTTGAATATTTTTCAAATCTGCCATATTTTGTCTCCACAGGTTTAGCTTGAACCACTGCTGTGGATATTACAAAACTGCTATTCTCCTGTGATTGTGATTTCCTTTTGTTAAATTTCGATTGAATTCTAGAACTTAAAATCATGCTTAAAAATTTTAATCTATTGTCATCTTTGGCTTTATCCTAAACATCTAAATTTGCTGGGTAGTAGTTAAACTATTAGCAATTTTATCTTCCTCTATAGTCACGTTTGTCGCATGTTAGGATATCATGACTTTGGTTTTCCTCTGGAGAAGAGCATTATTTATTATGTTCGTGGGCTTAGTATTCACCTAAACAACACCGCACCAAGGGGGCAGCCACCCCCCATTGCCTAGCCCCTCCCCAGCCAACACAAGCATTGGGAGCAAGTAGACTGTGCACACAATGCCTGCAAGGTCCATCATCTCACACATCAAGGATCTACTGATGTGTGATGTTACATATGTTAGGGAGGAGGAGACAGGCAGCACAAACACCCATGGGCTAGGGTCCCTTATTGGCCCCTTAATGTCCCCTGCACCCACACCAATATAGTGCTAGTCTAATTTAAGTTATTTTAGGTTAAGACGTAATTTTAATTGCAGACACCCTCCTTCAGTGAGAAAGATAGCATCCTCCACTGCATTATATTGTCTTCTGTTAATTT